GACGTCTCTTGAGAAGGTTGAATGATCCTCAGAAGGCCTGGCCAACTCATCCACTACAGCGAACAATCGCACTATGTAACCCAAGTGTTGACCACTTGATCCGTTCATAGACGAGAGGCAAAAATATCTTCCCTCTCAGCCTGATACGTCACAAGCGTTCTTGGCTGTCAGACATTTTGACAATGCAGCGAACCTGGGATAGGGTACTACGCTTCGTTTGGATCAAGCTGAATTGTTTCGTATCTCAGTATTTCTTCAATTCAGTTCCTTAGGTTCTGAAATGGCCAGCGTGTCTTCGTCAACGTTAATGTGCTTGAAATGATAGCAGGCCCTGCTTCCTTGCGGCCCGCTAAGCGCGGCCTATTCAGCGCCGGTTTCGCTCCATCGACGAACCAGCTCGCCGTGGAGGGCAGACGTGGAGGAGCGCATGAAACAGTGTCTACTAGCTCATAACTACAGTACTAGTTGCGTTTAATCGCGAAAGCCCTGATTTAGACTGAATCCTTCTTGATGCCAGAACGGAAGATTATCAAGCCGCGGGGAATGAGAAGATACCTTGTTGTAGCATACGGTGAATGGATAACTACACCTTAGATGCATGGATATAACTGTAAAGTCTCATATCAGACTATGCACCTTTCTACTCCGCACAACGGCAATGAGCCTACAAAGATATTCACAAGAACTTCGCCACATCCTAGAAACATCACCTATTGCCCCTATGCTTATCTACCGAGTCCACAGAGAGGTAAGACAGCTCCGCCATAGACGCGCTCGAGCCAGGCATCAGCTAGTTCTGATTTGCGCATTCAAGGCCATAGCACTGTCACTGAAGCTTCTGGCACGGATTTCCATGCTGTTTAGTAGGTCCGGAGCAAGGTTTGAGGTTTGCACCATGCCCATAAGGCGCTGTTCGCTGGCACGAATCACTCTGCACCATGAGATCAAGGTCTTAGGTTCAGTTCGTAGACTGAAACCACGTCGTACCTCTATCACCATGGGTTAGAGGCGTGGAGAGAAGACTTGTATGGTCAACTAGGTCGAAAAGACACATTGGCCGACGCTAATGTTACTGTCAGCGAGAGAACTACTGAGGCAGCAATTTTCTCTCAGCACAGAGAAATCATAGCATCATGCTTAAAATGTAAGAACAAGAAGGCAACAGAATAAGCAGTGAGCATATATTTCTATATTGTGCTGTGTTGTGGTAACTCGATCATCTACAAAACGGTGAGCGTTGAGTTTGCACGACAATCACCTCATATATCAAGATGGACGCGATCAGTATTGAGCAGCGCTGGAGGGATTTCTAAGGTTTCGGAGCCACCTCTTTCCCACAAAGATACCATCTCACAATCGTAAAACCATCTCCAACTCGTCTTGGTCCCCTCGAGACGTTGATTTAGTAGAGTCTGGGCCGGTGGGAAATAGTATTAATCCGCTCGCTGGACGCAGAAACAAAAAGCCGGACCCCCGCGTTGGCGCGATCATCCCGAAGGTGTGAAACTATATCATCAGTCCCACATGCGATCGCAAGCTCGAATTGTTCGTGACTTTGTCAATTTTGTCGCGCGATCATGCTTGCTGCGTCAAGCTCCCAGCGCCGACGACACACGGCGCTAGCCCCTTCAACATGCCTCTCCGCCCAGGCAATTTTAGCCTGTAAAACCTTGCCTGCTGTCACTCGCGTCCTTCCGTCCTCCAACTACCTCCTTCCGTCATCACTCCGGAGCCTCGCTCCACCATCAACACCCACCTTCTGCGCGTGATTATCTGCTTTATAGACGCAATGAATTCCCGCGAGCATTCTGATATGCCTCCGGCTACATCCTACCCGTCCCCCAACGCGGCGCAAATGGCGCAGGGCTCCATGCCGTACTATGGAAATCGCCAGTTGACCGCTGACGAACTTTTGTCCGCCGAGCTCTCGCGCGAGACTTCCGGACCAGGCCTGAACGACGGTTCGAGCAACGGTGTGCACCACGGCCAATCGATGGTTATGGGCTCGTCCAATCCCGGCGGCGCTGATATGGGACGCCCTTCGTCGCCGGACCAACACCAACAACATATGCTGCAGTTCACTCCCAGCCAGCAGGTCGGCGTCGATCCGAATCATGATCTGAGTTATGGAGACCAGAGCGCTAGAAGGAAGAGGTCGAAGATTTCTCGGGCGTGCGATGAGTGTAGGCGCAAGAAGGTAGGGCTCCTATACCTCATATTTCTTTTTCCTGGTTTTCGCGTTCTGTTTTGCGCGACGCCACACTATCGTTCGGAGTACTTACATGATGGTTTACTAGGTCCGCTGCGATGCAAGTTCTGAATCAGGTGTCGAGACATGCTCGAACTGTCGTCGACTTGGCGTCGCGTGCCAATTCAGTCGTGTGCCAATGAAACGCGGTCCTAGTAAAGGGTGAGAAGCGCAGCGCCATTTGCTACTCTGGTTGTTGGAACGAAGTTGCTGACATGGGTTATCAGTTATATCAAGGAACTTGCGGAGCGTCTACACACTCTCGAAAGTCAGATGCAGCCTGCTATGGTACACCCAGACATGCCGTACCAGGCCATGAATGAGGTGTCGCCTCCCCGGCCCTACCAAGAATTCTCTCCACCGATGGATGCCGGCCCTATTGGTCGTAAGAGGACCTATTCTGTTTTTGAAGGACTGCCGGCTGGACTACCCACTACATCTTATTCTCAGCCTCAGTTCAATCCCAGAGGTTCGCAGAATGCATTCGGTTTGTCTGCCTTACCTCCAGAAGATGATGTTACTTGACTGACTTTGATAGATGCTGGCGAGACATCGACAGACCCAATGAACCCGTCGGTCATGGGCAACACTGCACCCAAACCCGGAAATCTGTTTTGGTCCACTGGAAATGAGCATGAGATTCCACATGGCCTTGACATCCCCGATGTGTCTAAACACGGAATCGAAGAGGACATGACTCCTTTGGATGTCGATGAAGGTGCTCTCAATGCGTATGTTTCTTCATAACGTCCTATCCTTTCGCAGTATCATAGCTGACTATAGGCAGTTACTATGCTACAATTCACACCATCTTGCCCATCCTGCCGCATTCGAAGGACCGTCTACTAGAGATTCTTCATCAATGCAGCCGCGAGGTCCAGGAGGTGTTCCTGTATGCTTTGTACACTGTGACGCGCACGAACTTGGACCGCGTGCTGAGCACCTTCGAGAGAGTGACCTCGTTTGATAATGCGCAGGATCTTCTCTTATATTACACTCGGCAGCCGGCCCTGGTTCGTCATACCGCCGTCAACTTGGTATGGCTTCAGACTACGCTGCTCATGATACTCGACTGTGACTCTCGTGGTCCCGAGAACATTGTCCTCAAAGATGGGGTGCCTAAACATTCTTTGATTCAGTCCGCCACTAAACTCGGTTCTGATATGGCAAAGAGTCTCGATCAATTGAAGACTAAACGGTCCTCAGACGCCGACGTTGACTCAGATGCAAACCTAGTGAGGCGCAGCTGGGTGTCTCTAGCTATACTGGCGCGGTGGTATGCCATCAGTGTAGCCGATCCGAGCGTCTTGGTGAACCAGGAGATAGGTGGTCGGGAAGATGAACGCGTTCTTGGATCCGTCACCGCCGGGATTGGTGGTATGTTTGACTTTCGTTTTCTAATAACTGTGCTTGCCTGCTAACACCATATGTTCTTAGCTTACTCTTCGTTCCTGGTCGAGATGACCACTCTCGCCGCCATGGAGCACAATGTCTGCCAATCGAATACTGGACTGGGTCGCATGGTCGGTGCGAATTTGGTTGCTTCTCTCGAACGTCTGGGACAGATTGAGGACCTCCGGAAGCCCTATGATGCAGCCGAAGAAGCACCATCGCACGGGTTCTTCGAAAGCCTGCAAAACCAACTGTACTGGACTGTCCGGCTGCTCATCAAACGGCATATCTTTGTCTACAGCCCTTACGAAATTATCTACTGCGCCGTGGAGGTCATCAATGAGTTGCATAAAGCGACTATGGAGTCCCGCCCCGCGACGCCTTTTGATCTCCACAGCTTAGCGTTAGCCTCGATGACCTTGCTCGAAGCCACTGTTCTACCGGAACATACAAATGAGTGCTGGGACACGCTTAGAAAGGTTGAAGAGATCCTCGACCACCGCGCGAAGGTGTCTGCCGAAGCTACCGAGTTCGAAAATATCTACGCCACGCCTGGCTGGGACTCGAAGATTCGCATCTTCATAGACTGGAGGCGTTCGCGAGCCCATGAACCTCAGCATCAGGATTCCAGCGTCAATAAGACTAGCTCTACAGCGCCCCCAGTCATGGGTCCAAACGAGCAGCGCTCCCTTCAACATCTGGCGGATCTCGCCGTCGGCGCCGAGGGGTCCGTGGCTGCCAACGCGTCTTCGCCGCCACCGCTCGCCTCGACCGAGAACAACGTCAACACGACATCGCCCCATCTGGCGTCGTCGTCTGCGCACCAGACAAGCCGCGTAGTCGTCGACTTCACTCTCCTTACCAAAGAGGGTTATCTAAATGTCTTTTCGGGGCTGATTTACCGTCGAACTCGCTGAGGTCGGACGCCATCCTCGGCAATGCCACATGTATTGGCTATGATCGATAGGTTCCGTTTCTGCTAATCTCATCTCATATACTGTATCTGCGTACTCTTAGCCTGATCTATACCTTGTCTGTGTGAAAAGAGCTTCAACGCTGTCTCCGTTTGCTGCTGATGTACTTCATTTGATTCATCACACTTTGTACTTTTATTATCACTTAGGTTGGATAACTTCTCACAGAACAAAAGTTGTCTTTTCTATAGGCGTGCCGACAGCTATCATAACGGTATAAGAAATGTTTCTCTGGTAAAGTGATACATGCCTGTATACTCACATGTCACATAACAGGATAGTATCAACACTCTTGTCCTCAATCTGTAGCCTCCGCGTGTGACAATAGGTATATAACGTGGAGTAGCTGGAATCAATTACAAATAGGAACAGAAGAGAGCTAGACATCAACTCCCAAACGCAATCCGCCTCCATATACCCTCTACATCCTGACAAAGTTTAACAAACCCATCGTTCTCAAGATTCTGACAGATCCAGTTCTCCAGGCGTGCTGTACGCTCTTGCGTAGGCGCAGAAAGATACGATGAGAGGTCTGCCGGGGTAGGGTCTTGCTGTTCGCGCCGGTGACTTATATTATTCCTTCTTTCAATCATGGGTTGCTGCTCGTGTATGTGCATTTGCTGAGGTCCAGGGATGGTGGCAGGCTGCCCGACGGGGCTTATAGACGGGATGGGTTGACTGAGCGGCCTCTCGACCAGGGTCAGCGGTGGGATTGACGTGGTTGAACGTTTCAGGGCACCAGGTGCTGCTATTTTTCTCCTTGGAGTGGGCCTTTTCGTCCCCGGGGCCTGACTCGAGGGCGGTGGTGGTGCTGCTGCATCGTTTTCTGTGGTTGTAGGGATTTGATCCCCTGCGGTGAGCAGTGTTTGAGACAGGGACGTGGTGGAGGGTTCCTTTGCTGTTGTGCGGGATCTCTTCGCTGGTGGCTTTGAGAACGGTAACTCTCGTTTTGGCGGGAGGAGTTGGCGCAGCGTCGTGATATCGTGGCAAGGTGCTGTGGTGGACGGTTTGGGGGAGCGCTTGGAGCGTCGGGGCTAGTCTCTTCCCCTGTGTGTGCGTGTATGGTTCCTTGAAGTTGCCTTGCTTCTAGTTCGGTGTAGCTCTTGGCTGATCCTGTTACACTTGTGTCTGGAGCTGTCGTTTGAGTTGTACCAGATGAAGATGGAGGCAACGAAGACGCTGTCGGAGGACTTGTGTTAGCAGGAGCTTGTTAAGAATGTGTGGATTGGGTTGCAGCGCTACCGGCAGTGATGCTGGATGCCCTTCCTAATCCAGAAGCGGATGGTAGTACTGGGAACAAGGCTGCGCTCGCGCTGGAGGGGAAGAGTTCTCTAATGCCTAGGTTGGACGGTCCTGGGTGTGAATGCCATTGTGAGGATGTTTGTCTTCGAGCGAGCTGCGATGAGCCGACATTCGACTCCGAAAATGGACACCTGATGTCGCTCAGGATTGCCAGAGCCGTATAGAACTCGCGGTCCGAAGAGAACTTTAGCTGGAACCGGCGGATCTTGACTGCGTCAGAGGAAATCCATACAGTGAAGTGCGTAGGACTTACGAATCCGTTGCCTGTTGGATATTTCACCGCGAGACAAGGAGACTTGACGACCACGGCGAAGATGGGTCTGGGATAGCCGCTTTGTCCTGACATATGAAGATCAGAAGTTTTCTGGATGAAGTACCCAAGATCTACTTCTTCCTGTAATTGTTAGGTTATTTATGGGTTAATTCGTGCTAACATCTCAAGGGATTCCGGGATTGTGGGACAATACCACGATATTCTGGTCCTGAAACACTCTCAGGAAGATTTGGCTCTGAGCTGAGGATATCCCTGCTGAAGCCTTGTGAAAACAACATACAATGTCTCCATGGCTGAAAACATGACTCCAGTTCAATGGACCGTTATGATGAATGCTGGTTGTGGTATGAGAGAACTTTGCGAGGGACAACCGAGCCAGCTGAGTAGATTCGTGAAGACTTTGGGATAAATGATACATTGGGAAGTTCCTTCGTCTCTAGTCATAGGCGTAGAAGGATAACGCAATCCGATCTAATTATACTGAGTAGCAGCCGAATGTCATCAGAAGTCCTACGATAGAAGAACAGCAGCATGCACAGTGGGTGGTATGACATGGTCAAGGCCCAGCAACCAGATGGCCTCAGGCAGTCATACCCAAGTCCTTCTCAAAAGTGTTGATTCTTTCTATAAATGCCGGAGTCCTATCCATTTCTGACATTTACTATTCCTTGGCCTCGGTGGAAACAATCCATGATTTCATCAAACATTACAATACAAAGGACGCCAGTGTGATCAGGCGCTGGTATCCAAGCACTGGCAGGATACCTGCTGGCAGTCACAATAGAAGTTCCTATCTCGATATTGACGCTGAGGTCGAAAGACTGTATAGAAGATCTTTATGCCTGAGGCATCAACAACTCTTCCACATCCAAACATAACAAACACGACATGACATCCCCGGCCGGAACAACTGATATTCCGGACACGCGCCTGAGGCCAAAGCAGATGGGCGGACTTTTTGCCTGGGATGCCAGGAACGAGGATCGCAGGATCAGCTTCCTCTACACAGCCTGAAGGAGCACAACCAGGTCATTGACGCTTGATTTAGGCCTGCCCTTGTCGCGACTTAATTTCTCTACTGCAGAAATAAAATCGCATTCCTTCCTTCGGATCTGTCCTCTCGAAGCTTTGTTGCATTCACAACTGTAGTCGCATTGATCGGTTGGCTTCCGATAGCTCTAAATCACGGCCGATCTCCCTTCGCGGGGTCACCATCGATCAAACTTCGCAAACATTCACCTTGCCTGTGAAAGCCAACAGCTTGTATTCGTATCGCTCGTTCAACCTGCCTCATCTCATCCTCTCCTTTCGAAGACACGCCTGGACCAGTAACCCGACACCCTCAGCAAAGTTCTACGCCGGCGCGTCTCAAACAGGACTTCTCTTCCAACGAAGCGAAAACGGTCTCAGCACGTTATAGTGGACATATTCTGGAGCTACATCGGCGTGGTCAAGTCTTGCCAACGCGGTTCAGATCGTCCCAGTAGAGAAGAGAGCGTCCCCAGGAAGCATTGGGATCAGGACATTCACTGGGTTACTCACAATGTCGAACAATACGCCGCGCTCGTCCTTACGAGGCAAGTATCTCGTCCCTTTTAAGATGATTCCCGACCTAGCTTCGCTGACTGGATTAAAGAAGGCTTGCGGCAAGCTCCAAAAGCCAACCAACCCTTCATCCCAGACACTGCGCCTGTTCGACGCTCACACTCAAATGCGCACCAGTCGCCGCAGCCAACCGGAGCACATACATATTCCACCGGGTCAATGGGGTCGAATATGCCGCAAGGAATGCCCGAAAATTGGGAAGGCAGGGATCAAAGACTTCCAATGTCCACGCGTGAGGTAGCAACGCCCGGGAACAGACCTGGCCTTTTTGCAACCCTGCACGATCGAGGGAAGGTGGCTAAGCAACCAGATTTCTATGATCCTTACTTCCCGCTCAAATATCTCGAAGTACCTAAATGTACGTGAACTGTGCCGTCCAATTACTACCGCTTGCTTGTCGAGGCCTATTACTGACCCTGCCATGCAGCCGATCATATTTATAAACGAGCCCACTACGGTTTACAATCAGGGATTCCCGATGAGGTAGACTTTGCATTGTATCACCTTGTTCAAATTTCGAACCAAAGATGGGATAAATTCAAGTTTGAAGGTTTCCCTTTGCTTGCGGAGAACCTCATGGCGAAGGCCCTGGATATTTCCCTTGTCACAACCGGAGTGAAGTGGGAGCTCCAGTATGATTTTCGGGAATCCAGTGATCGCGTCAATGTGTTGAACTCACTACATGGCACACGAGATCTATTGGAGAAGATCAAACAAATACCCGTTACATTGCCGGAAGACACCCTCGAGACGTACGAATTCAACCACCTTCTCCGCAACATTAAAGAGGCGACCTTGGTCCTGCGGAACATGGTCCTTTTGAAAGAGAATGCCTACTATGTGTCACGGTACGCGAAAGGCCTGCTCCGAGACTTCCTCGTCATTATGATCAACATTCCCAATCAACCTCGTCTCAACGAGATCAAGAACGATGCTTTGGACATTGCGGAGGAGGTCACCAAGTTTATGAAGACCGATCCGGAGGATCCACTTTGGATCTCACTTCTCAATTGTCTTGAGTCACCAGATCGCGCTCACGTCGTCCGCGCACTATGGGCTCTCACCCATTTCTCCACTGAATTAGACGAGCCAGAGGCGAACCGGGCAATGGAACGGATACCAAAGGAGACTTTGCAGCAGCTCTACTTTCACACTCTTCTCGACTTGGACAAAGATATTCTCAGTGGTGCACTGGACTTCTGGTACCAGTATACACTTTCATCCGAGAACGTCGAGACATTGATTGAGGTCTTCAACTTGCCTACCGTCTTCGTCCCTCGGATGGTCGCATTGTTAACGCACGAAGGCCGACCAAGCAAGAAGGAAACTGTGTTGCAAGAAGAAAAGGTGGCCCCCCGCCGTCGGATATCCCTCGCGTGCCGCCTGAGCTCATGAAAGAGCTGATGGAGCTTTCGGAGCCTGAACGGAGCTCGCGTTGGCTCCGGTGCTGCTTTGTTGAGGACCTCGAGTGTGAGATCACCCAAATTGCATTGTGGCAGGCGTACCAGAGCAGATTTGCAGACCCCCGTCTTCCTGGTGGGGGTGTTCTCCCTGCGGCCGAATTCATCAAAAATGTCAGTACGACTTTCACGAACGCGCAAGCTCAAGTGATCAATGGTCCTGGTGCAGCGACAAAGTTCATCATCAAAGGCATTCGGCCCTTGGAGACCGCCTATACCTTCGAGGGCTTTCCCTACATTTACTGCAAGTGGGCGGACAACTCGAAACCAAGCAAGACGTGTCAGCGCGCTTTCAAGTCGCCAGCAGAACTTCGCCATCATGTCTTCACGGAACACATGAATCTCAAGCCTACTGAAACCCCGGGACACTACAACCTGGAGAAGGCGGAGTCGCCCGTTCATACCTGTCTTTGGGACAACTGCACGAAATTCCGGTCGTCTGGTCCGAGTACCAATACTGCAATGGTCGCCGGGCACGTCTCCGCACATTTGCCCGAGGAACGTGCGCCAGATGCGGAGCCACCCACATCCAAACGGGCGGTCCTCCAAGAGCGCATCGTCCGCAAATGGTACTACCTGGACACTCCAGTCAATGAGCGGGGCGAGCCCTTTGGAGTGGCCTACAAGGCGGCGTTAGTATTGCGCAATCTTGCCCGAAACCTGCCCACGGGTATTGCACCGCAGTACAACGGGCTTTCCTGGAAGAAAGCCGTCTTCCTCAGTCATCGTCCGAAGATCGTCGAAGCATGGGACCGTAACCGCTCATTGCGTAAGGAACTTACCGAGTTGATCATGGTAATAGAAAAAGAGGATTACTACTGAACTCGGTTCGAGAGAAACGAAATGAACAGTGGATGAGCCCCCCTCCAATGACGGCTGTTCGTTCTTCCTTTCAAACTCGCTAGTCCTCATCCTTATTCTTCTGCATGGCCATTGATGTACAATAATACCCTTTTTCTTTGACATGATGTCTTTCGATAATCTTTCGTTTCTTTTTCATTCTTTCACTTCATATGAGGAACTCCTCACCTCAATCAAAAAGGTGGCTGTTTTGCTCCTACCGTTCGCCCTTCAACCTTGGTGAGGGTTCACTCGCAATCTGAAATACACGGCGTCTGGGTTTTGGGGGTAGGAATCTGCTGGGTGATGCACGGTTTCCTTCAACGATGTACTATAGGTAGATCGCAGCCAGGAAAAATGATTCTAATTTGCTAGGTGCTCAATGATTCCAGGTCACTTATAAAATTGATGGGAGCGTGCGAGCTCTTATCATTTTCATCCCTTAAGCCGCTTCAGCCTGGTATCGCGAGAAATAATTGGTGTCATATAAATCTCGGATGAAGTCTTCGTAGGGCAACAATGTACGCCTCACCGGTACTCTTCCACAGTACATCACGGCATTCTACTGCGCAAACATTGGGTCACGGGCTGACTCCGGCAACTGTCTTGGGGACGGAGGTATCGTTATTGAGCGAAGTGGGTGTGGCCTAAGGACAGGGACAGGGGATCCCTCTGGTCGGGAGTAAAAGAGGAGTGTCGTCGCTGTTTGTTGGAAGTGGAGGATGAGCTGTTCGCGAAATATTCCTCGACTTGACTTGGGATCGGTAACGTCTTCGGATTCTGTGATCCGATAGTCCATGTTCAATGTGGTGTCGCTGTCGTTGGTATGGAAAGTGGACGCGAATCAAACCAGTTCAAGTCAGAGACAGTCCATAGTGGTTTTTACGCTGAGAAGACCATTGCCATGCCACAAACGCTTTCGTATTTCTCCCTCAGAGCCTCGCAACGAGCGGTTTCTTTCTGACTGCTAAGATCCGCGTGCATCCTCGACAACGGTATTGATCTTCGAGTGATCTACAGGAGAAACCTAAACACGCGGAGGTTTTACCCAATGGATTGCTACAGAGTCTGAAGAGACGGAAGCAGATGAGAATAGTCTTGCGATGACACCGCGATCATGTCTTCAGTTCGAGATACTCGCTTCGTCGGGTTATGTTCTTCAGGCGAATGCTCGCATGCTCGCTTTCAAACCGACCTCGCGCTAGTCGTGCCCGTTCTACAAGGACGCACGCAATGCCGAAGCGACTGCAGTTGCAGCAGTAACATGCTTATCATATGACAGGAGTCGTCAGGAGTCGCAACCTAAACGGACCTGCATAGGAATGATTCCGTCTGTGATGATCTGCCATTACAGATGCTCTTATATCAGGCCGATTTCTTTGCTGTGCTTACCAATTGCGATCATCACATCTGCACGGAACAAAAACCCCGCACCATGCTATTGATGGATCCTCGTCCTAGTAAAAGCCACAAAGTCTCTACTTTGGATTATCTCTGTTACATCTGAGGCACCAGGTGCTTGGCGAGAACCTAGATATCATCCTGCCTAAGGCACTTACTGCTCGATAAGCTTCATTGCCTGATTCCTTCGATTCCTTCCACATACCCCGTACTTTTGACATTCTCCTGAGGTATAAACGTGGTTGTCGTATTCGGATTTCGGAGAGCATTTAGGAGATGTGTCGATCACGAGACGGAGTACATGCAGCATTGTTCAATAGCATGAGGGCCGGCTAAATTCGCCGATGTAGCCTAAACTGTTGTCATGTAGTTTGACCCCTTTTTCACTATGCGATGCCCATTCAAGATCAATAACAATGAGATAAACAGGAAAATGAATTATCCAATAGTCTTTGAAACAGATAGTGCTGCTGACGGCTCAGGTTTCCTGAATGGGTAAGCAGCTCATGCCTTGACCTGCCGAGAAGGTGGTGTTGCCCCTTAATCTTCATTCACGCATTCAGAGCTGTGCAGGTTCTCTCTTGTGCTTCACTGCCTATGTTCTCTTCATAGCCGACACCAGTTATCTAATAGGTGCTACTTTTCAGGCTTATCCTACAAGATCAACGCCATTCTTTTACATAGTGTCTTTCTCTGGTCAACAGTGCGTCTTTAATGCAATGAAAACGTGCACAGAGGCGTGGACCCGCCATGGAGGCGTCGAGGCGTCAAAGCTGAGCCTATTCCTTTTTGCGTTAATCTCGTCCGAGTTAAAGCCTAAAGATTGAAAGTCAAGACTAGAAACGCCCCGACTCGATGGTGGATGGGTGGATCCAGGCCAGTATGTCATTCGCACGCCACTATTGACTGGGCACTGATTGCAGTTGGCGGCAGAAAATTTGCCAACCTGAAAGTTCAGGTCGATGATCATCATCGCAACTATCGACCATTCGGATACACTGCAGTCTCCTCGTGATTGAACCATTGAATACCAGGAAGCTGGATCTGGATTAGCCCCTGGCACGAGCAACAAGCTTGGCTATACCCACTTACGGAGTGGCATATAAAGATGGTACGTAGTCTATAGCGCGAACCTGGGAATGGAGACACTAACAAGTCGTGCATATGATCGACATGATCGCGCACAAGTCCCTGTCATTGCGCCACAACGCAGATTACCCCTTGTGCGACTTGTATCCCAGACGAACGTAAGTATTGCACCGAGCTTTTGTCCTGAGGATGGACTAGCAGTTGGACTAGATCTTGAAGGTCAAAGAGATAGAGAGAGAGTGTGCTTGCTCATCAAGGATCGGCCATCTATCTGTGTTGTTGCAGACGTTCGTTTTTTGACGGGCGGGTCGAAAGTGGTATGAGGAATAAACTACGCAGAAACTCAATCAATTATTGGCTCGCTAAACTGACTGTCATGCCGACTGAGCCGTGGTACACCACTACACCAAACCTAACAGTCGTCAATTTGTCACTGAAACACTGACATTTGAGTACATTTGACGCCGTCTTTCCTTCGAACGGGAGGGGGTGTCTCCTGGGCTCTTTTCGAGACAAGCCATGGAAGCATCGGGCTTCACAAAGTCAATGTCGTATTATTGTCCTAAACTTTTGGGAGTTCCGGCGGTACAACAATGCCATTATTCGGAAATTTACCTGATAAAGATGGTTCCTGGAACATAACGGAGGCATTCCGCATGTCATCCATGGGCGTACTTCCATCCTGAACCATATTTTCTACCCTCGTGGGAAGTCCTGGCAACCTATTCAACCAAAAGAGGCAAGGAGCAGCCCAAGCATTCCACCATGGTGGCATTATCCCTTATTTGGCGGGCGTAATCCCCAATTCGGAAACGACGAGTCTGGGCTGTGATATTATCCTTCTTGGCCAGTTGTTAGAACCTTCCAATGAACTAACTATTTTCTAGGTGTCACTCTGTCAGTCTCCTGGAAAGCCGGGTCTGACTTGACAGGATGTTCCCGGATATCCTGGAAGCCCTAAAGCGCCGAGGTACAACTATCGAGTCTTCCAAGAACCAATGAACGACGATTTGCCGATCCTTATTCCAATAACTTCACGTGGAGTATAGACTCTGTCCTGATTCCTGAGGCGTCTGGTCACTCAGGTGGCATAAACTCTCCACCAACATCAGCTCCAGTTCCACATTAACTCCGGTACTATTACTCTATTAGACAACGACTACTATTAGGCTATCGTTTAACTAACTGTCCATGAACCTTAAGACGCCCCCAATGGACCCTAATAGGCATTGTATCTTGAGGCCTGAGCGTCCGTAGTGCAAATCCGAACTTGGCCCTCATCATGATAAGATTTCTGGTTGGAGCCCGAAGGAGGGGGCTGCTCAACTCTCTCTCCGCTTTTTTCTAGAGTCTAGCGACACAGGTTTTAGATGACCCATGATTCTGGTCTCAGATGGGGCCTGGCATTTTTCGATAATATGAAGCTTGCATCCTCTAAAGTACTCTCCTACATTGGCTCTCGATCTTTCTAACCTGCGTTTCACTCCTTCGCAATGTGCACCACATCGAGAATAACTGATATTGGAGTCTCTCCCAATTATTGAGCACCACTACTAGGCTGTTCTGAAAGTCACTCATTACTATTATTACCTCACGATCCTTAGTCCTGCTACCTGCACTACAATCTCTATCAACTCGATCTTCCATCCTTTCGCATTTTGTTCTTCCTGGGGCCACATTGCGAAAAAAGAAAATGACATTCGGAACACCCCGCGGCCGGGGGCCCTCTCTCTCAGCATTGCATTTACTACCTTAGCCACTGTTTTCACGTTTATCCGAATTTACACCCGAACATTCCTTGTGAAGCAGATGGGCGCCGATGATTGGGCTATCATTGTGGCTCTGGTAAGCCTTTCGCAGGAGTTCCATAGCCGGGGACCGATTTGTCGGCTAACCCTCGCAGGCCTTTAGTTGGGCTTTTTTCGGTCTGTTTGTTGGAGGTATGCAGATGCCATTTCTGAAGCCATGGATGGCTCTACTTGTTTGCGTTTGGTACTGACGGTGGACAATCAGAGGTCAAGTATCTCATGGGAGAGCACTATGAGAAAATCCCGCCAGATATTCTTGTCAAACAAATGAAGGTAAGAAATACCTGTTGTCTTATTCGTTTTGACGTCCGGCTAATGTGTACCTTCAGTGTTTCTGGGCAACGATACCCTTGTATCAAGCGAGTCTGCTTACTACCAAAGCCTCGATTCTTCTACAATACAAACGAGTCTTCTCGACACCGCGCATGCGTTTCGCCTGTTGGTGCCTGATTGGATTTTTGGCCACGTACGGATCGTGGACATTCATCAGTGCCTGGGTCACTTGCGTACCTGTGTCCAAGTTTTGGCATGAAGATCAGCCGGGGTATTGTCTTGACAAGAAAGCCCTTTGGTTCTCCAACTCTGCAATCCACATTTTCACGGATATCCTGATCTTGGTATTCCCCATGCCATCGCTCAAGAACCTGCAGCTCCCCAGACGACAAAGGTACGCCCTTATGGCCGTCTTTGCTCTGGGTTCATTGTGAGTTTTGTTTCTCCGCTAGTACCCCACACTTTGGGTTGCTAACAGTCCACGCAGTGTCTTGATAACGAGCATTCTCCGACTGAAGAGTCTCATGGTCATCTCCAACTCGTCTGACCCAACTTGTGCGTTTTCCACGTCGACCTCAATCTACCAAAGAAGCAAACTAACTCTCAGCTCCTAGATGATAACCCAGGCGCTGCCATGTGGTCCGCCATCGAATGCAACGTCGCCATCATCTGCGCCTGCCTCCCCGGCATCCGCGCCTTTATCTCCAAACTCCTCCCCCGCTTCCTCTCCAGTTACAAGAGCAAAAGCAACACCCGCACCAGGACCCAACGCAGCCGGGTCACCCAGTTCTCCAACTTCCATGCTTCCATCGCCGGCCGTCAACCCAATTTCCACTTGCAGTCTGTCAGCCACGGCCCGGAGGGCGGCGACTACAAGGCAGGCGATTTCGAGGAAGGCACTTCGAATAAGATCAAAGTCACCACCATTGTATCGCAGGAATCCATATCGAATGATGCTTCGAGTGTGCGGCAGTTATTATAAGGGTTGTTATTCCTGGACGGGTTCTTTCTGCCGTGTATGATTTCTGGATCTCGTCTAGAGATCTGGACTAAGTGATGATGCTAATGATTTATTAATACTAATTCAATGTTCATGCGGCTTGGCTAACCGCCTTGCAGTCATTTATATGCTATCCTGCTCCTAGCTAATATCCTAAAGTAGGGCAATTAGCCACCTGACCATAGTGCTTATGCTAGATGTCCTGAAAGCAGAGAAACTACCTAGAGGGAGACATAAGGTGGTAAGGATATGTTATACTGTGAAGAAATTTTAGGCGAGGTTAAGCTATAAGAGTACTCCTTATCACACATATGATTATACGTAGTCCATCATGTTTGTGAAGGTCGAGACGGTACTGGCTTGGACACCGGCCTCGATTTTGAGCTGTCAGTTCGGCTAAGAGCTCCTTCAAACTCGGCTCTGGAGGCCCCCAGTCGGTTAAATCCTTCTGGGTAAGCACGTCGTCGGGCAATCTGCTCAATGATCTTCTCATGCGCTCTTTATCCAAGGGGGCTCCAAGAATCGTCTGGTATCAAGAGGGCGGTCTGTAAGACGGCTCGTTCGATGATATGCTGGCGCCTTCTGTCCGTACGCGCAGGCCAAACCGGTCATAGCGACGGCTAAGGGTTGGGTCGACTATGGCTGTGATTTCGTTGAGGTGCTTGTCGAGTACCGCCGTCAAGTTACTGTTCTCTTTCCCTAGATCCTGAAGCACATGCTTCGACGACGCGAGGAATGTCCCTGATCTGGAGCTTTTGCGCGGAAATATCCCCGGAGACCTGTTCGACGGCGTTCAGCATACGGTTGCACTCCTCTATTCCTTGCTGGGCCGCACTGTGGTCAGCTGTATGCTTGCTCGATTGTTCGCCGGTGATGATCCAGCAGGCTACTTTCCGACGCCAGCCTCGTCCGTATCCTCTCCTCCTGTATCTGTGCATGCAGCGGGTTGCCCCACCGCATATCGGGCATGCTTGCCATTGCCTTTGTCCGACTTAGGCTCCACATTAGATCGCTGACGTTTCTGTCGGTGTCAATGAAGTGCAGCAAGTCGTTGGCCAGAAGATCGAAACGAACCACGAGAACATACACCGCCAAAACGAGAAAGCGCAAAGCTGATCTCGACTGGGATTAGCCTCAGGCGAGGTGTACGTGATGTACGTCTCAACTAAAACTCCTTTCTCGCCGCAAGTTTCGATCTCTGTCCGTTTTCTCTACTTATAGCTAGTCCCAGCATTGTACAAATGCACATCTTCACTGGAATTTCGGCCAAAAAGGGATCCGTGGGAGGAAAATCCTCTTTAAGATCGCACAAGTGGAAATATAGACATAAATAGCCTTGGCAGCAGTCATTTCAGCGTTGACTTCAGGTCTTCACTTTCCACCTGTAACTCGATAAGATCATTGTGTCAAAGACAGAGGAGTACTTTCGTTGACACCAACAGGAACCAGCCAGTCCAGTCGAGGAAGTGAGAGAACAGAATAAATTCGCATTGATCTGGCGCCTAAGTCTAAATTGACACCGCGAGCACTATATGCAATTGAAGAATTAACAACACAAGAAGAAGAGATAAGACTACTGCCAAACATTAGAGAATAGATCATCAGCTCCGCCAAACCCGCCAGCCGGTTTAGGGGAGCGCTCGAGGTCGTCGTAGTCGTGGTTGTTGTTGTGGTCGTAGTCGAGATGGGTGCAGCACTGGCCCAACCGCCAAAGTCTTCGTCGGCGGCTACGGTGGGCGCGGCTTTCGAGCTTGCAGCGGGGGAGGCCGGGGCTCCCCAACCGGCGCCAATGTCGTTTGCCGTCAGTGTGTCGGGGACCTTCATCATGGTTGAGCTGGATGGGGCAGGGGCAGCGGGTTCCGGAGTGCTCCATTCGTTACCGCCCCAAGGGTCCACGTTGGGGATCATGCTCGCAACGGAGGCTGTGGATGTCGAGGTTACCGGTTTCGGAGCTGGGGCAGGAGCAGGACCGCTCAGGTTGAAAGCGGATTTGAGCTCCTGCTGAGGCGACGTCGTCACAGGTGGTGCAGCTGCAGGAGCTGCAGGAGCCGGGGGCGAAGAGAGTCCGAAGAGATCGTTGGAGAAGGATGATCGTGGAGGGTTCAGCTTGGGCGAGGGATCAGAGGCAAAGTTGGAGAAGCCCAAATCATGGCTACTGGATGAGATGGAATCGGTACGGGACTGAGGTTGAGGCTTCGCAGGTGGGATAGTCGGAGAGGTAAGACTGTCAAAGAGACCGCCACCGAAGCCACTGCTGGCTGAGGCGGTAGGTGACGTGATCTTGGGAGCCGCCGGAGTGGATTTGGCGCTGGCAAAGCTCGTCAAATTGGCAAAAGGCGAGGGCTTTTCAGCTGGCTTGGAAGGCGGAGAAGTGGTCGAAGGAAAGCTCAGTCCGCTGAAGGCGTCGGTCAGTCCGCCCAAGTTGGAAGCCGCCGATTGCGGGGCCGGAGATGCTAAATCTCCAAACGAAGACTGGCGCTCATGTTGCACGGGAGGCTGGGGCTTGGAATAAAGAGACAGGATGGATTGTTTCAAATCAGGTCGAGACATTCCGGTCGAGCCACCAGGGGTAGACGCGGTGCTGGCTGGACGGCTGGCGGTCGCGGGCTGAGCGCTCCCGAAGAAATCGAGTCCCAGCAACGAATCACCCGGTCGAGCCGGCTTTGCGGCAGGCTGTGATTGCGACTGTTGCCTGGGCGCAGCGATCCGCGGGCGGGATCTGTGGTGCTAGGGCGAACCGGGGGAGTAATTGGCTCGTCATCACCGAAAAAGTCGATAGATGCTTGGGGTCGGTGTGTGATCGGAGGTTGGCTAGTATTCGCTACACGTTGAGACGAGGAACGCTCGATCTTTGCCTTTTCCTGGACGACCGCAAGAGGCTTAAAGGAATGTCAATTCAACCGCAGATCCAACAGATGCGCCGGTAGAGCTTACCACGTTGTCGTCACCCACGTCCAATGTTGCCGGGTCGGGCATTGGCCCATCCATAACCCACCGCTTTGAATCATATTTAGTGCGGATAAAGTTCTCGATCTTACTATCCACGTTTTCATTAGCGTTGGTATACAGCTGTGACGACGGGGCCGACTCACGCTTCCGAGGGGACGTGACCAGGCGCCAGTTTCGCTTCCCAGTATCTGCGAATCCATGATCAGCATACTATCCAACCCGCGACAATTAACCGCTCGACACATACTTGTTCGCTCTAGCATTGCCCCATCTGATAACACTCTGGAGCTGTTCATCGGTCCACGAATCGAGATCCACAGACTTCACTCGGCTGATATGGGTGCCCATCCCCCTGTGGATGCCCGAGCAACGGATACATATGAAGATTCCCAAATTCCATGAGGCCCATCGCGGATCTAGTAAAATATATCGTCAGCGAAACCGATCAAGAAACAGAGTTCAAAGGCGCGGATTGGCAGTTGGATGTAGGCAGATACAACAAGACCAGGATATCCGGGGGCGGGCACCACTCACGCTTGTTGCGCTTGCAATCAGCACATATCTTATTGCATTCGATTTTCAGCAGGTTCTTGATAATCTGCTGGTTCTGAGCAGCCTGGGAAGGAGTCGCACGTCGAGACATGACAGCTGGTAGCGCGGTCCTCTCGATGGCTGGAAGAGATGGAAGTAATGGTTGTTGTATTTGGAGGAATTCAATAAGATCACAATCACCAAGTGGCGGATGCGGTGCGGCCTGAGGCAGCCAACTGTGGATGCCCGATGACGGCCGCACGTGCCAGACATGCAAGACGGAGTCAACAAAGACTGGAAATTGAATATAATACAAATCATCGAGTCTATAAGTCTTTTTATTGTGAAGAGAGCTTTGAGAAATTTTTATAAAAACACGTTATGGTCCACGTACGCCCCCACCTCATACCATGACTCCTCGCCGTCAGAATATCATCATCAAACTGCTACTATATAATTGTCTTTTCGCATCTCAGATCCTCATGCCTTCGACTTCGCTGCCTCCTCGTCCTCTGTAAACTTCAAACTAATACTATTCACGCAATGCCTCTCATCTGTCGGCGTAGGATATCCCTCACCCTTGAAAACATGACCCAGATGACCCCCGCAATTACTACACACAATCTCCGTCCGCTCCATCCCAAACGAGCGATCCGTATGTCTAGTCACAGCCCCGGGGATGGAGTCAAAGTACGCAGGCCAGCCGCACCCGGACTTGAATTTATGCGTGGCCTTGTAGAGCGGGGCGTTGCAGCCGGCGCAAGTGTAGACGCCCTTGGACGGGGAATGGGAGTCATATTCGCCCGTGTAAGGGGGCTCTGTGCCTTTTTCGCGCAGGACGCGGAATTGTTCTTTTCAACAGATTAGTTCGCTATTCTTTTGGTGTATAGTGTATTGCAGAGGGAGGTTCACCTGGAGACAGGACTGCCCGCCATTCCGCCTCACTTCGTTGTTCGGGGTAGGACATGTTGGACTCCTCAGCTTTGGCACTTGAGCCGAAGAATGAGCTTAGGAATGGAATGGTGGGCGCAGCTTTGAGGGCTGTCGCTCTTGAGATTGGAAAAGGTATTCTAGTAATCGATCGTGGAGAGACGGATGTGATGAAAGGTGTGGTGGAGAGGATGCGGAGAAAACGAGTGAGGTGTTGGAAACGCATCGGGGTGGACTATTATTATGGGATCTGAATTAGCGAGAAGAACAGGGCGAGAATTCTACGTAAATTTACCGGTAGAAGCCTCAGCCACGCATGGGTGAAAGCGAGGGTTGTATCAGATTATCGCTGCATTGCTGAATCTCCGATTTGCCTCTAGGTTTTACGTCATCATGCGGAGAATCACCGCCCAAAAAAAAAAACAAAACATGCAGAAGAAAATGGGTATATTTTGGAAACATGTGAGCAAGTATGTCCGCTAGATGCAGTATTCACCGACATTAAATCCTTGGACATCAACTAGATCAACCAGATGCAATAACTGTAGGGTATCTTAAACACGATCATGAACTGAAAATGGCGTAACATGTCAACGACGTCGAACAACACCGGTCACCGTCAAAACACCCTCACCCACTTCTACTCTCCATCCTTCCCTGGCCAGCATCTTGCCAACAGCTGGCCCCAGGCGAGATGTGCCATCATGGCTGTGGCGTCCGACTCCGGTGATGATGCGAAAGCCTGATCGCGCTGCCTCGCCGCCGCGCATGTACTTGGCGTCGCCAAGAGAGTCCCACCATGCGGAGACGCGCGAACTGGCGATACGAACGGCATCCTGGACCGAGACACCGTGCAGATCCAATGAATTTGAGGTCGACTGCGAATCGGCTAGGGCATCGGCCGCAGCGGCAGCCTCCCGCTTTGCCCGCTCGAGATGATCTCGGCCCACCGAGGAGTAGTAAGCAGCTGCTCCGCCCATTAATTTGTCTGATTTTCCACGGCGGTAAGCAGCTGAGGCTTTGTGGAAAGCCTCTGCACTGGCCACAAAGTGGTCGCCAGCCGTAACTCGAGCAGTACCGTGATCGCGAAGGATTCGTGACTCCACAGAAAGTCTTTTGGGCTCATCATCATCAAGGTCCAAGGGTGGAGGCGCAGTGGTGATTTTGATCAGGTTAGACACAGAACTGGCCGCTGGACGGGTGAGCATGGCGACTGCCAGCTCACCGGCGGCGGACGTCGAATTGCGAGTGATGTTCAGTAGGCCACCCAGTAGTGTTGGTGCAACAGACGGAAATTCTTGCGTTAATTCTGCAACTTGCGCAAGCATTATAGGGTGTCCATTGACATGTTTTTCCTCAGGCGCATGTGCCATCGCAAGAGATCGAATCGTTAGTGGCAGTGAGGCTCCGTTAGCATGATAAGCAGAAGTTACAGCCTCCTTCTTCAGGACAGGCACAGTCCTAGAACAGATGAACTCGATATCTTTCTGACCAGCGTCCCATTTGTTCAGGGGGAGATTCTCATCCGGCAAGTATCCTGAGGCTGTCGGAGAAGAGAGTCCCCGAACCGGATTGTTCTTATTCTTTCCCTTGCGCCTGCGATTCTTCTTCCGCCCAGTGTCTCCATTAGAACACTCGTCGAATCCATCGATGCCCTTTGGAATGGCAAGCTTAGTCCCATCTTCATCTTCTTGCTGCTCATCAAAGAAAGCAATGTTCAAGAGCACATCCATGGCGCGATCAATATCACCGTCAGACTTCCTAAGCGAATGCTGTACGGTGAAGCGATCCACAGAAGGAAACATATCTGTCAGATAACCAATTTTGTCGTCCTCGGAGGCACCCGAGAGTGACAGCGACCCGTCAGGGCCGATCGTGTAGCGCAAAGAATTCCTGTTGCCGTGACTCCTTGTGCGCCTGTCATCCAGACCAACGGAGGAGAAGTCGGACGCGAGACTTGTGATATCTGTTTCGCGCGACGGGACAGTGCCATTTTGCGAGCCGCTGCGCTCTGACAGGATGCCATCTGCATCACCGCTAGTGCCAGGACAGAGTCCGCTGGTCCCGGATGGGTCGAAAGGTAGATCTTCCTGTTCCCATGCTGATAATTTCAGAGTGTCCAGGGTGTCACGGAGTTGCTGCACTTGCGCGGGGGTTTCTAGGTCATAGTCGCAGACGATAGCTGTGAACAAAGCTGAATCCAGAGGAGGACAGTATTCCTTTTCAAGCTCCTAGAGGTTCGAAACAGCACAAATCCAACAATTAGCTTCGTGTCCACTCGGGCTCCAAATGTGTCGGAACTGACTTTCAACAGGCTATTGCCTGTGTCACCCATCTTCAAAATCGCTGATTATATGTCGACAGTGTATTCGGGGTCTCTTTATCATTACTTGGAGAGTGACAATCTCAGAATTTCCCTTGATCATCAAGCAGGGAGATCAAGGCTGTTTGTGCTGAGAGACCACAAATTCGTCGGGGCGGGGAAGATTCAAACGATGCACCAATCACAGATGACATAATGGGCTGTTTGCGATCCAACCAGCTTCGTGACCTCATTGATAAACTAGGATTGTTCAAGTGTTCCAAGATGACCTAAGATCCAGATAGCCCTTCAGATAATGAGGAGCCTCTAAGGTATCCAGGTACTTGGCGCGGCATAACAGGCCATCTCTACATTCTCCTCTGACCACAGCATTCAAAATTACGAGCTCCCCGCGAGAAAACAAATCATTTAAATTTTGACTTGAATGATCAACATTGCTGATGCTGATGCAAGGGAAGCTTAGGCAGAGACATAGCAGTGCTATCCTTGACAGTCATATAAGCCAAAAGATGACAGGAAAGAAGCAAACAACAGAAGTCCCGGGCACCGAGAAGTCAATGCCCGCCCAACTCAACCCTGCCCTCTGCCTACATTGACAAAAGAAATGGGATCCTTGCTCTTCCGATGACGTGCTCGGTTTCGCTGTCATGAATGCTCAAGGTGTGAAGCATATTCAAGCAACAGTCTCGTCTTCTGGACTGTCACCCTCATTGGGGTCTTGGCCCTCCTCGTCGGCGTCTTGACCACCCTCTCCAGCCTGGGAAAGGTCGCCAGAACCAGACTGTCCTTGGTTCGTTTCGCCGTTACCCGGTTTGAGATCCAGAGGTCAAAGTTCCAGATGGGAAAATCATATTTCCAGTGCCGCTTGAGGAGCCTGAGCCGCTCGTGGACGGAATGATGCCAGAGAGCAACGACCCAAACGGATTGGTGTTTGAGCCTGTGGTAGTGCCAGAGGCACCTGTACTCGCCAGATCGCCGAAATTAAAGCCTTCGAGACCCTGACGTTTGTCTTTCTGGGAGCCTTGAATGGGGACGGCGAGGAGTATCTCGCATAGGCCGAGGAGGATGGTAACAGTCTTGAGATTCATGGTGAGTCTGTGAGAGATTTTTGTGGGTTCTTGAATGAAAGCAATAGAAGAAAGCCTGCGTGATGGTTGATGCTCTCAACTGGGCTGGAAGGAAGCCTTCTAGCCTATTTTATACTATGTTATTTCAAAACCACCCGGGAGCCTGCTCGGCGCAAGAGGCCTCGACGTCCACACTCTCGACAATACGTACCCCCTGTCGGCGCTGATTGAAATCCTCTAGAGATGACGAATTTCAGACTTAGTATCAGCGCGAAACAAGTAATCATAGCATAATACGAGGTTCATAACCCCGATTTCCTTCTGCTGGTGTGAAAACAATCGGTATTGCAGGGGTTGTGTGATTCGTCTTGCATGGTTGCCACAAAAGCTCAAGCCAAAGGATCAGCATAAGAAGTCCCGCTCAATCTCCACGTAGTTCGCTTCACCGTGCAGAAGGAGTCGCCAGAGGCTCTTCGCAACATGCTGTATTGTATGAAGTCCAGGCAGCAAGGAAATCAACTACGCCAGAACTATCGTGATTGTAACACTGTGATGATGTAGAGCACAATTTTACTCCTGACTAGCTGGTCATGATTAGAATCTCCATATGCAGCATTCAGGGACCCAATTCTTTGGTCATTTCATTGACCTTGTCCGAAACTGTCCTGAAGATGGAGATTTTTGTATCCAGCAGCACTCAGGATATCACCGCAGCCCTGCCAGACCTGACTACTATCCATTCCATTAGTAAGGGGGTAGGTGATTGCAGGAGCATGTTGGATAACGTCATGGATGACGATCGACAGGCTCTGATGCAATAAGGAACCCAGACGAGCCAGCTTCTTCTTGCAAAAAGAAGAGGAGATGAGTGTTTTTAGATGCTGACTGAGCCCAAGGCTACCGGAGAGCACCCATATCATTGCGCCGCTTTGGGCACGAGGTTTTCCGTACAGGTGTTCGTCCATTGCCTGAATCCTCTTGTTGTCTATTGACTCGCGACAGACAATTGTATTCAGAGATGATGGGATGTGTCTCGTCTAGTCGTCACCGTGATGTCGGCAGGCCATTTGATAGCTCATATGCACTGCACATCGGTGGATCTGTCATCACCGAGACTGCAGCCCATTGTCACAGGATTTGGACAACTCGAATTTGGGTTGACCGACAGTACGCAGATCAATTCGAGACAAACACCTGTAAAGGCTTTCCGGTTGTTTTAAACTTAAGCCTAACTTGTTCTTTGTTTGTGTAATCGGGTAGCGGAACAAAGGGAAAACTGAGAAAAGGCCATATCTGTGTAGACAGGAAACTCACCCGTCGCCTATTCCATCAATCTCAAGACAGAAGAGAAATTTGCATAATCGTTGGTTTAAACTTTCGCCTAGATGAAACTATTTGTACTATGGCCTGCTTTTACGGAGTAACATCCCTCCGTCGCTAGAAAGTGTTCAATAGCCTCAAGAGCTTATCTCGAATACCCACTCATCACATAACAAGGCATAGAAACTCTTGCCATCGGCAATTGAAGCCCAGCAACGTGTCGTAGACCAGCAGCTATCCTTACACCGAAGAGGCATCAAATGGTTGAAGGCGTGACATGTCTTGAGGTTAAAAAGGGGAGCATTCATCCTCTATATCTTTAGGGCACGAGGGCTCAATCACCGACTCAGTGGTGCTTTACAGAGACACAGTCAATATGACCGCACCATCGACTCAGCAAAACTTACATTTTCAATACTGCCAATCAAAGACGCAATGCCGGAGTCATGAGCTTCGTCGCTGGAGCTATAAACGAGAAAAGACACATCGGATGGAATCCCTCGCGTCAACGCACGACCGGCCGCAGATGTATCCAAATAAACATCAGATCATGCTAACATCGCTTCGGCTCAGGAGGAGAGAGCCAGGGAAGGTTTTGAACCTTGTGTCTATAAAGCCGGCAGTCGTCCTCTTGCATTGACTCGATATCCATACCATTGACAGATTTCGATCTCACGAGGTTCTGCCTTCCATCAGTCTATTACCTATTCTTTTGAGGCACACCACCCCAGACCGACAGGACTTCAATCACAATGCGTTTCTTCACCTCAGTTATTGCTCTCGCAGCTACCGCTGCCGGTACGTCTTCCTATATTCCTCTTCACGAGGCAATAGCCTTACTAACGCGACCCAAGCCCTCACCATCACATCCCCGAAGAGCCTGGACCAGGTGGACATGAGCAAGTCCGTCAATATCGAATGGCAATATGTCCAGTAAGTCCTCCTGCATAGACACCTACAGATCCAACACTAAATCATAGCAACAGATCCGACTCCCAGAACTTCTCCATCGTCCTCGTCAACATGATCACCCAGCCCCCCGTCAACAAAGTCATCGCCAAGGAAGTCAAGGCCTCCGACGAGAAGTACACCGTGGACGGTGTCTCTGGTATTCCCAAGGCGTACGTCCAAATTCCGATGTCCTTTCCAGCTACAGGCTAGGCTGACCTGAATCAAAAGAAACGGCTACCAGGTCAACTTCGTCAGCACCGGACCCACGAACACGGGGATTCTGGCTCAATCTCCTCAGTTCAACGTCACAGACGTCAAGCCTGAGCCGAAGACTACTTCCACTGGTAAGATTTATCAGCTAGGATAACCTGCATCATACATTCTAATGCATTTCCCCTCTGCAGAGAGCCAAACCGCCACCGCGACTGCTTCCGCTACCGCTACTGCTACGACCAACGCTGCTGCATCTCTCATTGCCCCGGCCGCTGTGGGCTCCTTTATCCTGGGTCTTTTCGCTTTGGCCGTGTAAATAGGACTCTTAGGGCGCAAGTAAGGATGTTTGGGACTGACGTCACACTACGAAATTTGGGGATATTCTTGGTATATATACATTCTTCCAGGGCATGATATCCAACGGATATATACGGTGATACTGATATGATGGGTGAGAACATGCTTTGTAATGCATTTAATTGTCTATGCAAAATAATAGATAATTGATAATGATATTTCCTTTCCTGGTCTTGGGCTCACCGCTTGTCTTCGTGGAGTACGTTGGTATTGAAAACTTTGATCCTCATGCAAGGAGAGCAGGCTAGTGATGTATCCATGCACGTCTTCACTTGGTAGTGGACGTCCATATGCACTCATCACACTGCTGGCTTGAATTTGTTTTCAATCTCTCGGTTTCGTTTGCGACCTCGCTCGCCAGCATACATCCATACTTAGGTCTAAATCGACCTCTTGGTTTTGAGTCCCCTCGTCCAAACCAGAAATTAACACACCTACTCTGAAGTTGGTGCGAATGAATACGGGGATGAATCGTCTTCAGTAAAAGCAAATGGGTATACTAGTGGAATGTACATATATACAGAAGTAGTCAAGCGTCAGCCTTTGTTACAAGTCCTCAGAGCGAGCCCATGGCGGGTTCAGCAAGCCCGAGACGGATCCTGATCCAGCTGCGCTGGCGCTGACCGCCGGTGACGATGACTGGTCATTGTACTTGTCATTTATGCCTTCTCGAGGACGGTCCCAGGTGCGAATGTGGCCTGTTAACCTCCCGTGTTAGCGGCTGTCTCTTGGGACAACAAGCGATGCATAGAAATCAGGGACGAACTACCTTCGAGAGAAGAGGTCATGATACAATCTTCTTGAAAGCCCAGCCAGCAGATAGGGTCCGTACCAACGACTTTGGACTTTGAAGTTGTCAGCTCAAGATTCAATGGTCTAAAGCTTATGAGCATTACTCAGAACTCACCATGATTGGCGGCAGTAAGGCAGTGCGTGCTCTGGGTTCTACAGGGTGACGGACAGCTTGGTCACAACTCTCATAGGTGTTTGCGGTCCTTTGAGAATCTGACCTCATCCTGTTGCCCGCACTGTCAGCTCGGTGACGGTTGCCATACTGTGAACTGCCAGCGATCATGCTTGTTCGCTGACGGGCGCTGGCTTGATGCTGTTAAAGATTTGTCAGCGCATCGGATCAAATCTCACCATGTTGAAGTAATTTAAAAATTCGAGTGTGTATGCTGGTCCTCGTGATAAAGAGATACGTACCACTTTCGGTCGGTGCAGCATGCCAACGCTAAAGTCCCACAGAAGAAGCCTGCAGTCGTCACCAACACTCCCAAATCTGTAGGTCCGTTCGTCGCACTGCCACGGATCGAAGGCGACCGCGGAAACCCAAGAGCTGTGACCCTGACAACGGGCTACGATTTTACGCTCTGGGAAAGACCAAATAGTCACTAGATCATCCTGTCCGCCAGTGACAATGTATTTGCCATCAGGTGACCAGCAGACGCAGATGAGACCACCATAGTAACTGCGAAAAATGTCCAAGACCCTAAGCGGCTCGTTAGCTGCCTGTCAGACACTGAATCTACAGATAGCAGGAACAGAGGGAGACATACTCTTCTTTCAAGTAGTCCATCACTCGTAGAGAGCCATCGTCCAAGACAACTGCCAAATGCCTTTGGTCTGGGGAGAATGCAAAGTGCGATATTCTTTGGTTTGCAAGTTTCCAAAGAGCGACAGGGTTAGTCTTTTGGTTCCTAGAGTTGACGGACTTTAACACCTGCAGCGGCTGTCTACTGGATGCCTTGAGTGCCTCCGCTGACTGATCCAGAATTTCAGGGGTGAAAAGAGCATCTTCCTTCTCTTTATCATAGACTACTAATTGTCCGTTTGCGTGTGACGCCATAAACAGATTTTCCGACCCAGGAATCCATTTAATATGAGTGACCGGAGAATTGCTGACGACTCCATTCTTATTTATTCGGGCGTACTTTTGAGAAATAGGCTCGTACCAGATGATGTCACCAGCAGAGGAACCCATAACCATGTCGATATGAGAAGGGCTTTTGGTGACCTCATTAATATCGTGACACAACATGTGCGCCTTTGTGAAAAGAATCTTTGCAAGCGGCTCTTCCTTCTGCTTCGAACTGAGATCAAGCCATTGGAAGGCGCGGTTGATATTGGCGAAAGCAAAAAGGCCTTCCGGACTCCGCTCACTCAACCGCTTCGTTGCCGCTTCATGAGTGATGACCCGTGAGACGAAGGACGAACTGCTCTTGATAATGTTGTTCTTGGGCTTCCGCCTTTTCAGCCCGTCCTTGACAGGAGCAGGTACCAGTGCCGGGTTTCCGTCTCCAAAATGGGGCGCTGTTACGATCTGCTTTGAGATGAACGAGGGAGTTTTGCTTCGAGGGCTGACACAAACTAGTGAAACTTTGACGCCGGATGTCGGAGGTGTAGGAACAGTCGCAAGCGGATTTGGATTAATAATTGGAGCTTCAGATGGGTGTGGAGGAGGGGTTGCTAGGTGCAGGTCGTCCTTGAGTTCATAGGTGCCTAATTGAATGTCCCCGTCAGTCCTAGTTGTCGAGACTCCGCGGATACAAACGCACCTTCTCCAACCTGTAGCGGGCAGCCGCCCTCTGGATGACTGAGTATGTTATTGGTCTCTACGACCGGCACTGCCATGCCATTTGCCGCGCCAGCGGCATAAGCGACCGGCACGGTGTAGCGAGGAGGCGGAGGCGGAAGAACACTAGAGCGGTCAGGTCAGCAAAAGTGCAGTTCGCAGTTGATATCCAGCTGTTCCCTGCCAGTCCCTAGGAGCGCAACAGGCGACAATGAACAGCAAGAGATAACTAGGAAAGACTGATGGCGACCATCAGGCGTAGCAAGGGAGTCTTACAACATGGTTGCGGTTGCGATGGAGTAGCGCTAACTCATGTAAAGTAGAATATTTTTGTATACGCTGCAGTGGTAGCAGTGAATAGTAGATGCAAGGCAATCAATGTTGACTAGGACAATAGGTGAACGCTGCTGAGTCCACAGTCGCAGTGAAATGCTCGTAAGAGCGGCACCCTAAGCAGAGCTGCCCAGGGTAGTTTGTGATGCTGAGATCTGGAATGAATGCGACGTATTGAGGGACGATATTAGGAGTAGAGGAATCCCGAAGTATAGATTTCTTCAAGCCAGTGTTTCAACGCTGAGATCGGCGCTCAGTATATCTACTTCTTCTGACATCGGTTAGTCGATCACGCATACACGTGGAGGGGAAGAACAAGTGTTAGCAGACTGACCTTGGGCTGTAGGATAAGCGGGTCTCGACAAAATGATAATCAGCAGAATTAGACGAACAAATAAATATATACAATAAAGGAATCCCAACAGTGAGATAGGTCTAGAGATGTGAAGCGCGAGGTTAGACAGACAATGGTGAGTGAGGAGAGGAGCGGAGAGCTGGACGGGGAAGTTTGGGAGGCCCGTGTGTCGGTTTCTGGGGTTAGTGTACTCAGCGGTTGGCTATATAGTTAGCCTATTATTGTTGTTCTTTCCGTGCTGCCGAAGTGGTTCCTGGCCATAGGCGGGGTTTTCAAAGATCTCATATCGACCATTTATTGGCAGTTTGAGATCATCAATCTTGCTCTAGTGGCTTTATATGTCAACCATCAAATGAAGATTTAATTGGTATATCTAAATGCAATAATATGCATTAGTATTTTTAGTCTCTTCCGCTGGCGCAACCCCGCAGCATTCCAAAGCCCATGAACAAAGCACATGCATGAACGCATACAAGCTTCCCGGGGTATCAATCTAATTCATTCATCCAGGTGCACATTAATAGGCTCAAAGACCTATCCGCTACCACTAACTCTTCGCCAAATCATCACGGCAGCAGCCCCCGCGCAAACCACTGCTCCAAGTGCTATACCCCAGGCCATCCATTTCCCCTCCACGTCTTCCTCACTCCGGGGGAAAGCAGTGCTAGGCTCCATGGCAGCCTCTGCAATGTGTACAAACACCTCTTGGATGGAACTCCAAGTAGCACTGACGTGGAGCGGCGGACTCGGCATATTCAGCATGGCCGTGTACTCGTGGGGCTGATGCTCAGCCCGTTGCGTGGTACGATCCAGATCGGCCTTAAGCGCAATAAAAACACTCGGAAGCTCTTCAAGATGCGGATACTTGGACCGTAGCTGCGGGATATAGGCAAAGGAGTCCGGGTCTGAGGAGTCATACGTGTATACAATGACATCGCATTGATCCAGAAGCTTCGCCTGGTTTTCAAGAATGGCGGGCTCCAGTTCTCCTAGCTCATCCAAAATCAAGTAGCATTGTTTACCCCCGGGCAGCTCAACCGTGTTGACAGCAGTCCGGGGCTGGATAGTCGGGCGATAAGTGTAGCTAAAGCCACGCGCAAGGAAGGCATCGAGAAGCGCTGATTTGCCCGATCCTGGAGCTCCAAGCACATGGCCCAAGACGACATTGCGGCCCACACGTCCAGGGCGCTTCCGTCTCTTTCGCGGCCGCGTGACTTTCAAGGCAGCCGTTGTAGAGGGATTACTCCTATCGGACGACTCGAAGCCAAGATAAGCCAGATACTCCAGAGTCGTCTTCGGTGATTGGAAGGTTGTCATACTCCACTGAGCAAGCCAGCCTTGAAGAGTGACGTGGCCAGCCTCATTCCGGACTGTGGAGGAAGGAAATGAGCCGTCCGCCCAAGAAGCTGGAAGACCAGGAGTCGGGGCGAACAAGGACGCCAATTCGGCGTCATTCAAGCCACCATCATTGTCTTTGTCCGACAGCAGGAAGAGATTGACAAAAAACCGATATCCTTCCGGCGACAGCTCAGCAGATGCAAAAGGCGGTACTTCGAATCGGGGATGAAGGAAGCTCTCTTGTAGTGAAAGATTGTCGGTGTATTGGAATGCGCGTAGAATAATCCAGACGGTCTCGTGGCGTCCCTTTTCTGCGTACATCTTGTTCAGATGTATGAACCCTCGGCAGTCAATGCCAAATGGGGTCACAGAGTCCGGGTGTGTTTTCTGGATCGTCTCCTTGATGTGGACAAGGTCCTCCTTGCTTAAAGGCTTATCAAAGCATCTCATCTGAAAGTCTTCGATTTCTTTATCCGAAAGATAGCCATCTCGATCCTTATCGCTGAGATAGAAGATGCGTTGCAAAGCTGCAACCGCTGCTGGCTTCAGCGCGGACTCTTTCGAATCGAACAGTGGAGCGATTGGGTGAGTGACGGCTTTTTGACAAAGGAAGAAAGCCTCGTTCACGTTGCGATGTTCGCGGGCGCTGGTACGTATACAGGAATCGATTTCCTTGAACTCCGCCATCACCGGTAGCATTTCCTCCTCGATGACTTGGGCTTCGGTATGATCAGCAGCTAGGTCCGACTTATTGGCGCATAATACAACCGGCACGTTAACCCCCAGAGATCGAAAGTACGGCAACCAGAATAGAGCGACTCTTTCATAGCTGTAATGATCGGAATAAACCAACAAAATCACGTTCGACTTTCTGATTTCGCGGGCCAGGTTGCTCCGCTCCTGTGGTAAAGCGGAGGTGTCCACCACTGTGGTGGTCGTGACATTCTCAGGCGTTCCGATCGTGGGAGGAATGGTAATTTGAGGTAGGACTGGCTGGATTTTGTTCGTCACGAAGACACCCTTCACGAGAGAGGTAATGAGACTGGACTTGCCAGTGCCCTCATCTCCGCAGACGCAGATGCGCACTAGGTTATGTCATGTCAATCTCATATCAAGAGAAACAATCAAGGACTGGTCGAACCTGTAGCCATTGGTACTGATTACGTTCTTCTATCTCAAACCATTGTAGAAATCATCTCATCAGTCCACCAAGATGGTTGCTGGGACACTGGCGCAGGTACAACAGACACGGAATCATGGTTGGAACCTTAACTCCATGACTATTGCTGATCCCCGGAGTTTCGGGCGGTGGCAGTGCCGTATTTGCAGCCTCAGGTTTCCACATATGCGGCATGTGACACTGGGAAGAGTGCGATAGACCGTACCAAAAGTGAGTCTGGACGGCGAAAGTTGGACCAACGTCTTCGAACAAGGTTTATACATAAGTATATCATCCTTCAGCAATGATACTCACCAATTGATATATTGAGCTTGGGTGGTAGACTATCACAAAAAGGACTCAACCACTCGCGCCCGGAGAGCTATGATGCCGGGGCCGCTGCTGACGGAACTTACTAGATAGTGCGGAGTACCTCTAGAGTATCTTGACTTGCTTTGCTGTCCATCGTCTGAAAGAATCTGTGCCGTGTTCGAGTGCTTCAAAGAAACAGTAACATCAAAACCTAAGATTGCTTTTATTTATTGACTCCCGAAGCTGACCCGCCGACTTGTTAATCAGTTATTCGGGTTTCTGGGAAGGTTGTGCTAGCTATCCTAGTAACTAATAGACTGGATCAGCCGTCATCTGTTCCACATCCGGGCGACCCATCTGGGCGAACGAACTCCCCGTTGCGCAGCATTTCTGCGATCACATCTTTCTTTCGCATCACTCCTGACCTTTACTCTCCTACAACTGATTGATCCTACGATCCGACGAGCGTAGCCAAAATGCCTCTCGGAATTCACAACCCACTGCCGTCGTCGTTATCAAGTACGTATCAACATTGCTTACATCTCAATTCCCCGCAGTTGGGTTTCCGCAGTAGGTGAGTGCCTAGCTGATCATTGTTCTTTCTCAACAGGCGAATGTAAGAAAGCGGGCAAGATTCTCGCATCTTTTATCGATCCGAGACAAGCCTTCGGTCCTGATAAGATTATTCCTCCTGAGATCCTCGCTGGTGCCAAGGTAAGTTAGAGAACGAAATCTTATCTTAAATGCGCTTTCGCCGAGCTAATCGCTCGGTCGATAGGGTCTTGCTATCCTTACTGTCCTGAAAGCTGGCTTTCTCGGTTCTGCTCGGTTTGGCTCAGGGATTGTCGTCGCTCGTTTGGCCGATGGCACATGGTCGGCACCTTCGGCTATTGCGACCGCCGGTGCTGGGTTCGGAGGCCAGATTGGATTTGAATTGACTGATTTTGTGTTCATTTTGAATGATGCAGCAGCAGTGCGGACATTCTCGCAGGTTGGAACCTTGACTCTGGGTGGAAACGTGTCAATCGCCGCAGGGCCGGTGGGAAGAAATGCGGAAGCTGCGGGCGCAGCGAGCACAAAGGGTGTGGCAGCGGTGTTCTCCTACTCGAAAACAAAAGGTTTATTTGCCGGTGTCAGCTTGGAAGGAAGCATGCTGGTCGAACGGAAGGACGCCAACGAGAAGATGTATAACAGTCGAGTCTCAGCACGTCAACTCCTTAGCGGTACTATCCGACCTCCCCCGCTGCCGACCCTCTTCTCCGGGTGCTGAACTCCCGCGCATTCTACGGCAATGGCAGAAACGGAGACACCATGTACAATGATATTCCCATCTATGATGACAGACATGACGACGTTGTCTGGGAAGGCCGAAGGGGCGAGGCATACGGTGAGGGGCAACGGCGTGACCGCGGCGGTTTTAACGGCGCCGATAACTACGAGTATCGCGACAGACCTCGCGCGAATACGTGGGCAGACGACGTTTACGATCGGCCCGCCGCAGGTTTGAGCCGTTCCTCTACTATGGGTCAAGCCGATACTTTCGACAGATACGGCAGCCGCAGTCGGAGCAACACGGCTCCATTTGAGGAAGATTACGTCTACTCCGACCGCAAGCCCAGCCGGCCAACGGCACCCAAGCCTGTCTTCGGGCAGCGCACAGGGCAAAGTGCTCCTCTGCGGGCAGATCAGGCCGTCGCATTGTACACATTTGATGCTGATCAGGAAGGAGACTTGGGCTTCAAGAAGGGAGACATTATCACGATCTTGAAGCGCACGGACAAGGCGGAAGATTGGTGGACAGGGCGCATTGGCGACAGGGTCGGCATCTTTCCGAGGTGAGAACATCCTTGTCGGTGGCCCAAGAAGGCATCCATACTGACACAAAGATCAGCAATTACGTCGATGCGGCTTGATTCCAGTCACGCCCCCTTTGCTGCTTGGCGCAGAATGACATTAATGAACCGATCATCAACTCTCAGAACAGACCATTTCAAGATGCCACGCACACATCTTGAACTATATCACAATTTCGTCTTGAAGGTCTCTTAAGCCCCTTTCATGATGTAAGCGCTGGAGTTCTTGTCCGTTAGGTGTATCCAAATCATGACTGAACGTGTTGCGAATGGAAAGAAGCAGTTCTTTTTTGTATCAGGCTTCAGTGAGGGCCTCTTTCTCTATATCCTTGTCTTTCACCTTCTTTTCAGACTCTTGTGTCTTGCGATCGACACTGCTTTTAAGACTACTTAGGATTGATCTTTTGCCGCCGGATTTGATCTTAGAGATTGATTGCATGCTTGTGCTTTTCATTCATTGTTTTTAGTTGTTGTATGGCGTCACAGGCCTGCATAGTATCCAATGGCATCCAGGGAGGTTTCTGAATGCTTTAATCCAGCCACCTTAGGGTATCTGCTACGCACCACAGACATCTTTTATGGATTATTGCTGGTATTCAGCAGATCCAGCAGATCCCCTGTGATAAGCAGTGTAATTATGGCCTTTACTTCCAGGAATGACATAATCTGCATACCGATTGATGCATGCACATTCCACTAGAGTTTGATGAGAGGTATGTTTCAACTCAAGCTTCTAATGACCCTAGATGTTTGCCAGACGTTAGTCAATTTATACGATTTCGACAATAGAGCATGATCGTGATCTGGTGCCAAAATTACTGGTAAGTTTGGATGATGAGGCGCGGTATGGTGACCGACGATAGGCACGAGACCTACTACGATGACTACGTACTAACCACAGAAAAGTAAGAGGACTATGAGAAAATAATGACAACAACTTGATATCGGCTGTAACCACGGTACGAGTGACTCTGGAAAAGAAAGCTCAGATACGCTATTGGTTCGCAATTTTTTTGTCTCTTTGCAAAGGAGCGCCTATGTCGAAATGACTGATCAGGTGGAATAAAGTTCTGTAAGTACTAGATAGTAGACATGGGAACCCCAAGGCTACCTAGGTAGGCTAGGCCAACACGAGGAGGAAAGCTGTTTGGTGGAGCCGCGCATGAGCACCAAAGTCATAGGCAGAGTCAGGTCTACTGCGGGTGAGGTCACCCATATTGTGCCAGTAGTCAGTTTCAATCTCACTTGATGCATTTCTGCTTCGAGGCCTTCTTGGTCCGAGAGATGGATGACTGGAGCTTTGCTTAGTGAATGATCAGTGCCCACCGTTATGCACTCCATACATAACCCAGAATCCTTGACCTGGAGAACCGTTAAGTGGCAGCCACTGGCGGTAAGGAGCTCATAAAGTAGCTACTGGAAGACTGTGATTTGAGGCTGATAGAGTGCAGTAGTCCACTCATAGTCCAGGACCCGGGATTGATTGATTATTCGCCCATAGTAACGACGTGGATCGATGATCGTCATCAGTTCATAGTTCCTACAAGGTAAGTATGTAGTTGTGACCAGATCGATCGTCCATAGAGCGGCGGCCCGGATTTGAGTTGGGCCTCGAGTGGAGCTAAACGATGACCGAGGCAGAGTGGACCGATCCGTGAATACAGCGTACATTATTAGCAACAGGTTCGACGGGGCGAATTTGAACTGAAATCGGCAAATTCTGCGGCATGGAGATTGAGTGAGGAGGAACTACTCGTAGGCAGGTGGTGATCGAGGTTGAAACATAACCTGAGGCACACGAGTTACCTTCAATACGGAGGTATGTGGATGCACTCCATGTCTTAGACTAGTCTAGATATTCTGGAATTTGTTAGAAGTAGATGGTCATTTACTCAGTATGTCATTACTTTTCTTCAGGCCATTATTCGAGAAATAAGGTACCCAATGAACTGAATAAAAGCGGAAATAGCAGAACCTCCAACCTTGTCCAGGGTACCTTACTTTGTGGTACCTGTTTTTATCGCCTGATAAAAATAATACCCCCCAAGGACCAAGGTAGCCTCAACTTGCCAACCCAACGCTTGTTATGGAGCAGTAGGGATGTCTTCAGACGACACTACTACAAAGGAAGTTTAGCTGGTTCTTTCTCACTTACTTACCTTACCTTACTTGCACTACTCTACTACTCTACTTCCTCATCCTGCTGATATTCCTTCTTAATAATTATCCTGGTGATTATTATGCCCTCCAGCTTCAGCTAATTCTCCTCACTCTTCCTCCTTACTGAAAGTCCTTCCTCCTACTTGCTGGACGGGTTGTTGTCACTGGATGTCTAGCCGTCAGCCTTTCCCTTATTGTCTTCTTTTCTTGCTCCCTGGTGGATGGTTTTCCCCGTCAAACACTATTGCTGTCGTTGCCAGTGTTTCTTCCCCGCTTCCATGATCATCCTTCGCTATCTCCCGGCCTAGGTGCTATATACATTCCTGTTTGACCTCCCTCTCCACAGTCGACTTTCCCGTCGACCCTTCTGTCCAGCAAAATTCGGGAAGACGATTTTACGCCGGCTCCCGAATTATTTGGCTCTCATGCAGGTGCGTTTGCTCTAAAAGTCGTCCCATTAATCCCTCTTACCTGTTCGAACTTGCTTTTTCTGCTTTCCCCTTCCCCTTGGTCGAACCCGGCCTTTCCCCAACCTCCAAACCGTGGAGCCCTCTTCCAGACGTCTCGCGGACTGTCCGCGTTCTGCTTGATGAAGAATCTGTTAAAAGAAAAACTCTCTGACTGGTCTGTTCGTTTGATCACTAGGCTTCACCGAGCCCCTCTGAGGCTGGCGGAGGATACGGGACGAGGAGAGGCCATGTGCCTCAATTATCTATTAGCGACCCGAGCCATCATGTCACGGAAGCCATTGGGCATATGTACGAAGACGATTACGACAGGCGGGAGTCCAAACGTCTCAGCTTCCTTTCTTCCCCACTCAGCGAATCCATCTCGATAATCCCTCCCAACCTCGCCGGATCCGAAGACCCTGCCTCACCGCAGTCGCTGCACGTACAAAATCGCTCGAGCGCCGTGGATAGTCCTCAGACCAATGGACACTCACGGCCGCCACTGGTTTCCTCCAAGTCCTTTGATCGGGACACCAGCAACCCAGCGTCTCCCGGATCGACGGACACGGCTACCACGTCTTTCCCTCTAAACGACGTCGACTACGAATCCGATCCTGCTGCTGTGGCCCAGGAGCTCAGTAACCTAGCTGCTATCCGACGGATGTCTATGGACGTGACAGCAACAGGAGATCCCGACCTTCCAAGTTTCTCTGTACCGTCGATAGCTCCATCTCCTTCCGCCGACGAAAATGACGCATCTCGTTTATTCTGGGTCCCAGCTCGGCTGCACCCGGAGCTGGCTCCCAAGGAGTTCAAATCCTTCCTCGAAACTAAGGCGGAACAGATCAGAAGAAAATCGGGCGAGTTCTCCGGCTTCGAACACGATGGGGCGGGCGGGTCGCTGCGCCGGAAAAAGTCCATGTTGTCCAGACAGATTGACACCTCCCAGAGTTACACGGATGGGGCGGAACGTCTCGAGCGGAAACGATCGTCGCAGTCGAAGAACAAGTCTCTGAGCCCGAATCTGCTTCAGCTTGAATCGTTAGTCGATGACTCCAAGCAGCAAACCCCGAGCTCGGCGTCCTTTTTGGACGGAGTTCAGAAACTCACCATAGAGGAGGATGTCCCGATCCTGCCTCCCGCACCCCCGGGCACAGTCTCCGCCGCTCTACCCGAACACAGTACAGAAAAGCCGGTAGTTTGAGGAAAGGCGAAAAGGTTCCCTTCTCAAAGCGGACTGGTAAAGCATCGGACACGAACGACCGAGTCCCTTCAATCACTGGTTCATCTGCGGACGAGCCCTCCTCAGGTCTCACGCGAGTGGCTACCGATCCAACGCCTAGCACAAGGCGTGCACAGGCCGAGCCGCAGTACACCACCCAGACCGCTGTCAGCTCTTCTGCACAGTTTGAGAATAGCAGGGCGAATGGCTGGCCGGAAACGAATCCTGGAGACAGGACGAATGCTTCTCCTCAGGCACGCCATCAGTGGCACTCTCGCCTCAGCTCCAATGGCCGCTCGACCCTGAATATCCCGCCCACCGAACAAAGGGTGCCGGAAATTGTCGAGACGCCCCCAGCCGAATCTCCGCCAACTCCCACGACGCCCACGACACCCACGTACCACCACAGTTACAGTTCGGGACGGGAGGCATCGCAAGATGCGCCGCCGACACTGCCTTCAAAGGATTACCCTCTTCGAGATCCGAACACAACCAAACGATCCGGAGTCGCGCGGCAGTCGGGGAAGGAGAGCTCGAAAACTCTCAATGACTTTGCGAACAACCCACAACCACTCCCGGGAAATACAACACGGACGGACAACCTCTCATTCATTCCTACAATATCGGAAGACCGCAAGCCTGGACCCAAAAAGTCCAAAGACAAGAAAGATTCGGAGGGCGGTCGCAAGTCGAGTTGGCACTGGTTGCTGGGCTCTGAGGAGAAAGAGAAGGATAAGGACAAGGAAAAGAAAAAGGACAAGGACAGCGATTCGAAGAAAAGCAAATCGAAGTCGGCGGATAAGGTTCATGAACCGACACACCCTGCCTCATCCAACGATATCAGTCCGCGCGGGCGCGAAAGTATCACCGTGGATCGGCTCGACCCTAAACTGGAGGAGGAGCGTCGGAAAGACCACGTCCGGCGCACATCGGGGGAGTCCAAGAAGGACAAGGAATCCGGCCTGTTTTCATCGATTTTCGGCGGTGGGAGGAAGAAGAACAGTGGAGATGGTCATCACAAGAAGAGCTTGTCGCGGACATTGTCCCCTGACCCGCCCGTTCGCGAACTACGGCCGGATGTCGATTATCCGTGGACACGATTCTCGATCCTCGAAGAGCGAGCCATCTACCGCATGGCTCATATCAAATTGGCCAATCCCCGCCGAGCGCTCTATTCTCAGGTCCTACTCAGCAACTTTATGTACTCTTACTTGGCCAAGGTTCAGCAGATGCATCCTCACATGATGATGACGTCGTCGGCATCGCAAAAACAGCAACCTTCAAGGGATCAGAACGATGAGTATTCACAGTACCAGAAATATCAAGAAGTAAGTAGACTTTGGGTTTTGCATGTGGTGTTAGGCGAATTTGTTTTAACCCAGAATACAGTCTCAGCAGGAACAGTACAGCGATAGTTCCTACGATGATCCTCAGATGTACGAGTACGGCGACGACCAGCGCGATAATTACCGGCCACATTCAAGGGGTAGTAAGTACGAAAACGGGAATGTATATGGTCCTGGACATCATCAATATGGGCATTCAACGTTTGGCGATGACGCCCAGCTGGATGACGACGATGACGATATGTGGTGAACAAGGAACAGAAGTATTGCGGCTTTTACTACTGTTTGTTCTTCTGCAGCGCACGAATACCCCTCTGCTTTTGTCAGCTTTGATCCTTCTTAGACTTGTATACTGAAGCCTTTTCATTTTCCCTCTGTCTTGTTCTCCTTCCATCAATTTGTCCCTGCCTGTCTTGTCTGCTGCGCGAAGAGCGCAGGATCACCTTATTTGACCCACAAGAGTGACAGTAGGTTACATGCTATTGACCTGTCCTCGGGATTCCACTATCCGCCGTCTGGTTTGCTTTCTATGGCGCGTTTCGTCTTTGACACCCTGGCGGCATCACACTTGAAGTGCCTTATTGTCATGTTCTCTGCTCCGGTATCGAAGTGCCTGGCACTCTTGCACACATTGATTTGATATATTAGCATAGCGATTGGGGTTTTCCTTGTCTCGATCTGGGTTCACTTTCAACTTCTTGCCTGTCTTGTTATACACCTTTGTACGTTGAATTGCAACGGATGGACTCCGGCCGACTTTCTTGCAAACTGTGCCTGCAGAGCTGAAGGATGGACACGTTTCGTAGATCAGCCTGCACCGTAGCACATTTCACCAAGGCAACGTAGGACAAGCTGTGCGACTTTTGGATGTAGATAACCAGGTGAACTCTATCAGACTGCCCCGTAGAATGCTGTTGATCACGTGATCATAGCCTCTCCGGATCTCCACGTCATTGTCATGGGGTTGCCTTTGGGGAATTCTGGTGTTCGTATCAACTTCACTTGCTATATCATCTCTCATACGCATCATACTCGGGCCGCGTTAATATTTTCCTATCGTCCACTTAAGAAACAACGGCCATCGAATTTTCGTGTCAGAAGAACAGCAAACGTCCATCACCGAACGAACAGAATGGGAGACGCCTACGAACGTGAACAGTACGATCCCCTTTTCCTTGTGCTTGCTAACCGCGATTTATCAAGAAGCAGAGCCTCGGACTTGCATGTGAAATCAGGGACCAGCTAACAAATTGGCTCCTGTAGACAAAACAATGCCCTCCTCAACTCCCTATCCAGCAAAGTCTCGGCCCTGAAGTCCGTCACCATCGATATCTACGATAATGCCCGGGACCACGAAACGCTAGACCACTCTGTTCGTTTTGCCCTGCTTTAACTCCGTCTATCCGGTATTTGGATGAATGATTGGGTTACTAACGGTCCCAACAGAGCCAGGTCTTCTCCTCTCTATCGACGAACCTCAAAGGCAGCGCGAGCCGCTTGACCCGCATGGCGAAACAGGGGGATACGGTTGCGATTATGAAAGTCGCGGGGATTGTGATTGGCGCGGGGATTGCGCTGTGGTTGTTGCTGGGGTGGATTTTTTGAGCGGCGTCGTGGAGAGTACAGTGTGTCGAGGGTGCCTTGGTCTTGCGGGTTCAAGATTGATGGGCATTAATGACATGGTTGATTTTACATGCTGTTGGATGGATTGTGCATTTCAGCGTGTTTCTCGGAAGGGTTGTGTATATGGGCTGGTTTGTGTATGACTGTGTATAAGGGTTGCTGTGCTCGATGTTTCAGCGTTCCATCACGATGTCTGTTGATTGGGGTTGTTTATATCGAATATCCTATTATCTAATACTGTGACTTGGTGATCCAAGCAATTGTCAATAATGAATTTGGGCGATGCTGTATCTTATCCAGACAGAGAACGCTTCTAATCTGGTGCACTTCTGGGTCATAGACCTGCGGTTATCATGCGGATCATATCCTTGCTTGATAACCTTTGCTAGCATATCGTCACATAGAGGTCCGAGGTTCCTCAGCTGATAGCTGCTCGTCTATACGTCGCATACGCGTACGCGAGCCAGATACATATCTACCGGATCTCGCGATTGCAGCAAGCCTGCGACAAGCCTGTGTTGCTCACGGATATACAAACCCAGACTGGTATCTCTGTTCGAATTCCACACTCGGGAGTGCAGATACCGAAGTATCAGAATAGTCGGTAGAGTCAAATGATATCGACAGAAATCAGATCACGCACGGCAAGCAGCGTATGACTATGGCCAGTTATCTACGGATATGGAATCAGCCTTGCGCTGGGCCACTGCAAGTCCTCGCTACTGGCGGCTGATTAGGGAACCGTCTCAGGCTCTCAGTCTCAGCTCGTCTTGTCTCATGCAGACGTGTCGTGTCCATGCAGGGTAGTCTATCGGACATACCCCGTGAGAAGGGCACTACGTAGATAAATAAATTTTGCGTTATTACGATTGCATCTCGCGGCGCAAGTAAGAGGTAGGCACCCCTAGGGAGTAGGCAAATTTGACTGGCGAGAAAAATTTTTCCGATAAAGAAATTTGAGTTATTGGCAGGGTGCAGATATGGCCTGGCCATGCCATGTGCATCTTAAGAACCTTGCCATTGGTTCGCTGTCAAATTTCATTGTCTGATACCTGCTGATAGGCGAGAAAAAGTCCGCAAAAATCATTATCCCTCTTTAGCCGCCGGTGTATTCTAAATGGATTTGGTGGATACCCGTCGATATCAGGCGCGAAGAATGCTGGCACTGGCAGGCTGGATACCCGTCCTTAGTCTCCCGTAGGATCAAGTTTCAATCCCTGTGGATACGACGGAAAAGTCCGCTGTTTCGAAGGTTGATGGCTGATAGGCGAAATATGGCGAGCTACCAGATAACAAAACCTCTCAGTGCTCACTATGACTTACAAGGGTAAGTGCGGAAGGATGAGCTCTGTCTTAGCCTCTTAGGTATTCTAGTTTAAGTCAAGTCAGTACGTAGAACGGATGTGGATCGAGTCCGTGCTCGCGTTCTGGATCCGAAAGTCTATGCCAGTGGTGATGTCTTGGGCGATGATAAGGGTTTTTGAGGAAGACAAGCTACTGCTAGAAGCGGGTTTTGCTTTCTCTCAGAAAATAAAAGGGATGCGTTGTCAGTGGAGTCTGATGATTCTGGGCTCGGAGTCTCGAACTTATCATGGAAATCTATTGGTGAACGACTGATATCGGGTCGAGTTCCCTGATTCCCGTTTTAACCGGGTTGGATTCGGCATGCCGAGTGCCATTGGGCTTGATCCTTGCTATATCCCGGTGTACCGTGCTCCGTGGCTTGTAATATCATCATCCAGCCCAAGAAGAATTTTAAATAATATCATCTTTGATACGACAATGAGATGCACTCTTATCTTTTAAAATCCAGCGCATCCTTCTTGCATCGCTTGAGGTGACAGCACGTGGACATGTCATGGAGGTTAAACAGTTCTACTGATACATAGCTATGGAAAAGCTCTGGTGGCTATAGGACTAAGGAAGGGCACTGCTACCCGACCAGTACCATCCCTCCATAGGTTTGAGGTTTGGTGGCCTGAATTAGGCGAGGACCCTCCCGGTAGATCTCTATATAGGCTCACCGAATCGTGTCCTAAGGAGGAGCTTGTCCTAAGGTAGGGGCTTTAGACTCAACTCTGAAGTCTCGAACTTGAAAGCTTTTCCTGGCAGCTAGACTAGAGTACTAGACTACTCTAGATAGAATGATAGATAGGCTGACACGAAATTTTCTTTTCCGGAAGGTTGAGGACCCGCGCGTAGGTGGGTCTGGACTGTTAGCATGCGAAAAAGACAAAGAAAATAAACCGGCTGATAACGTCAAACCGTGGGCTAATTGAGGTCATTGCTTGCGTCAAGACTCAAGACTGTAGATTTCGGGACATCGATGAAGTTCTAGGTGCTGACTGGGTTCTTCTTTGCTACTGACCAGCGTCACTGTTACGAAGGAGTGCAGGTGATAGAATGAGTCCTTGTAATATGTAAGGCCATAAGATCGGAAGATATCGAATTTTAGCGGAAATTCCGACTGTGGGTTTGCCTATTTGGGTCGATGGCGATCATGACGGGTTATTTAGGCCCGAGTCAGGGATGGGGCCCGACATTTGATTGCCGTGGATACTGGATGGCGAGAGGTACTAATGATAGATACCATCGGAGAACGTGCGACTTTCCCCGATCACATGTCATCCAGTGAAATCGTGATGAACTGGTTCATGTTTACGCAAAAGCTGAGTTATAGGAGCTTATTGGCACCCTTTTGATGTCAGTTGGATTTCATGTGATAGTGACGATCCTGCAGTGCTGTGGCTGGCTTCGTGGCTGCTGCAGACAAGAGAGCTTCGGTCCGAGATGTAAGGTATGCAGCATTTATGCAGGTGCCTAGGGGTTTAAGCACATGCAGGCCATAGTCCAAGTTCAACATCATATGGCGGAAGTCATGCCATCATCGACGATCTTTTACTAGCATCTACCGAACGCAAGGAAACTACGTACCTGGTTTACGACATCCCTGAAGAAAGCTTAATAGCTTGGCAATATTCGATACGAAGGACCATAGAAAATGACATCATTGTAGGGTGTCTACTATTGTACTGTTGTCTACCTGTTTATATATTCGAAATTCCGAATATCATTCGACGTCGATGTGTCTGATTGTTGATATGAGATTTAAAACTGCAGCGGAAGGACCTATCTACAGATATCATTTGTTAGTTTATTGACTCACAAGGTGGAAGATCCTTGGTGGAGTCTTCCTCGGAAACTAATGCCAAATGTGTGATTTACGCATTCTCTCTCCACTTTCTCTGATTTGGGCTGGCTTGCGAAGCTCGTAGCTTGAGCTGTTGCTCTGGGTTGCTATTGCCACCTTACTTTTAAACTTATATTGTTTTGGAAGTCTCCTTTCCTGTGTTTATGAGAGATGTTATGCTGCTAAACCTATACATGACGGCTGCAGAATGCCATAGGCAGTAGACCTGCGAAACCCCGCTCTGAATTGCGCTGAAGATCATTTACATTCGACACGAGCATCAATAGGAAAATACAAATAAAAGATCACATCATCGGCATGAGAAATACAAGAGTTGAAAGCATAAATCTCAGGGCAGTAGCTGAAATAAAGATATGCGATGTAACCTGCAACCCGTGGGTATCGGAGGGATCATGCCAGCATATTAGCACATGTTGACTTACAAGACACAATGAGCAATAGCAGTGATCATTGCGAATCACGGTAGTCGTACAAGATCTTGTGGCTATCATGCGCGAGGTCGATCCCGAGGTTATATCCCTTGACATCTGTCAGTACGATAGAGTCAGCCCAAGTGTGTACCTGGAGAGGACGAGGATGATAACCAGCAGAAGGAGATTCTAGAAAATCATCAGGCACCAATCAGTCACTGCATATGCCACCCGATAACCGGACCACCCGAGTAGCCTAAGCCCTTTGGAGGTAAACCTGGCGATCCCTGGCGTTATCGTTATTCTTCACTATCATCAGAACCAGGGCCTCTGGCACTAAGAACAATAAATTAATTGAAGTACCTACGTATTATTATTTTTAAAATAAAAATTGAGAATTAAAATAATAATAATATGTTATTCTTGCGCAATCATCTGTGTTCCTGTTCATCGATTTCGACAGAATAAATACAAACACATTCCCATCTTCCCTCTCCTGTCTTCCTACTACTCTATTCTTAACCCATTTCAATTCCAGCAACTTTACCGAGCACCATCACCCTTCGACTAAGAGGATCCTTGATTCTGTGGTGAATCTGGTATGTTTCTGACGTAACATATCCCAATCCCATCTTACAGTTTTTCCTCATTACCTTACCTTATCGTCAGCATTGAATGTCATAGTAGCTTCATTGTTTTCTTCTGATTCTATTGTTATTGTCAGCTGATTCTGCAATTCTCTCTCCCTTTCGATCTGTCCGGATGAATTCTCATCCTCCTTCATCTCCTGCCTTTAAATCTTTAACCCTGTCACTTAAGGATTCATTCATTGACCATTGCGTCTCTTGTCGCATCTAGGCCTCATTTCATCTCTCTTGTCGCATCGATCAATAGCTCTACTGCTCGTCATCAGATTAGTCAGACCAGCCGAGTTGAACCATCGCATCATCTCCGGTTCCTCGACGAGTAGATACTTAAACAAAGGGAAAAGGACCCGCTTCGCCACTCTTCCCGTCCGATTTTCCAAGTTCCCAAAAGGAACTCCTAAAAGTTCCTCTGTCGGCCAGACGGTGACGGAAACGGCTGTTCACTGCCCCCACCTCACCACCAAGCAATAATCCCTAGTGGAGCCCATTTGTCGCCCTGCAAAATAATCTGGTCAGTGACAAGTCGATCATTGGCAGATTCTATCTCTTGCGCAATATTTCGGTCTTATCTCTGTGTCATTATTTCTTTCCCCTCTATATTTTTCCTTTCTCTTCCTTCTTTGGAATACAATTCAATTTTTAACAGCGAGTGTTTTCCAACAACGCCGCATATCGCGCCTAGCGATTTGACTACGTTTTCGTCCGATCTTCTGGCAGCTGCATATACGCAGCCGTTAGTTGCATCGTCATGGCTCTCAGCTTCTTCGGTGGTGGAGGTGCGAGTCACCTAAAATACTTCGATATCCGGTAAGTCTTCGCAGGTTTCATACCTCATTTGCACAATTGGGCTAACCATTTGCAATAGTCTGGATGAAGATTATATTGTATTTAGAGGAGGAGAGCAAGAGGCAGCCAGTGCGCAATTGAGTGGGAAGCTTCTCCTCTGTTTGTCGGAGCCGCTGTCCGCCAAACATGTCAGACTGAACCTCACTGGTATCTCTCGAGTATGGTAAGTTGCCAGTTGCTGTACTTCTCTTCGTACGACAAGCAAAGTGCTGACGAACATGCTTTGCAGTTGGCACCTCCCATCAAGCTCGGCCAGCGGTGGCAGAAAATCGTGGAGGGAAAAGGTGTTCTATGAAAAGTCCTGGACATTCAGAGACGCGGGCAAAAGCAAGACTGAGATACTCGCTGCGGGCAACTATGAGTTCCCATTCCATGTGATTCTCGAAGGCTCCATGCCAGAGAGTGTCGAGGGTCTCAGCGACACCTACGTGACCTACAGATTCAAGGCGGAAATCGGACGCAAGTATGCCAAGGATATTGTTGTCAGGAAACCACTGCGTATTATTCGTACGCTGGACTCCAGTGCACTTGAACTCTCTCATGCTATGGTAGGTGGACACTGGTATTGACTTCCTGGCTACAACTGCTAACGTTCGTGCAGTCCGTGGAGAACATTTGGCCCAACAAAATCGAGTATTCAATCAGCACTCCAACCAAGGCCGTTATTTTCGGGACAAGCATACGGGTGGACTTCAAACTGATTCCCCTCCTCAAAGGACTCAAGATCGGACAGATCGTCTCCCAGCTAATCGAAAGTCATGACCTAACACTTAACCCTGAAGACCCCGACTCTGTCCGCAACACATACAAAAACACGAGGACGATCGTCAACGATGAACATGAGTTGGATGAGGAAAACAGTCTCGAGATTATTGACGAGGCAGCTGAGGGATACCAGTTTTCTCGCTTCCTTGACCTACCAAAGACGTTAGCACGCTGTCTGCAAGATACCGACACACGAGGTATCAAAATCAGACACAAATTGAAGTTCCGTGTCCAGTTACTGAATCCAGACGGTCACATCAGCGAGGTATGTACTCCAATTTCCAGGAATCCGTATCAAGGGATGCTAACATTCACAGCTACGGGCTACCCTCCCCGTTTCCATCTTCATCTCGCCAAACCTGGCAATTGACGACAACAACAACCTCGTCGACCAGACACCACAATCCGCTCAACGGGCAGTCAACGACATCGCACAACAAGCACCCCCCTTGTACGGCGAGCATCAGTTCGATCAATTGTATAGCGAGGTCGACCCTAGCGGCTACCGGACCCCGGGACCGGGCAGCGGACCGGGAACTCCGTTTGGTACTCTGAGCCGGAATTTGTCTTCCGAGAATCTTGCATCGATGAATGCCTTGACCAACACCGATATCTCTGCTTCTGCCTTGCATAGTCGACTGTCCAACTTGCATGCTAGCAGGTTCAGCAACCCCTCGCCGTCTGATACTGACGGCCATACCGACGCCGAACACCGTCGCCTGGGAGTCTCAGCCGACTACTTTGGCCCCTCTTCTGGTTCCAATTCGCACAGTCCCGCGAGTCCCGAACTTTCCCGCAGACCTTCCGACGAGGGCTATCACGACCATGACCACATTCCGTCTGGAATGGCCACACCGTTTCACCCACAGTTCGCTGAAGTTGAAAGCCTCAGTCGCGTCCCAAGCTATTCGACGGCGGTCAGGTCTACTGTGGGTCCATGCGACAGTGAACTGCCAGATTATCAGGCTGTTGTTGCCGAGGATACCGCCATGCCTACCCTCCAGTCCCCTCAACAAGCCCACATCCGGAACGCCGGCCGTGGAGCCTCGACGGGAAACACCGGCATCGATGTCCATCACCTACGTTCCGGCCTCTTCAACTCTCGGACTTCAGCTCATCATGACGATGACGATCGCAGACTGCGTCTTGTTCAAGCTCGCGCTCGGGTTTAAACCACAACTAATGAAAGATCAATCTCCCTTATCCATGAAGATAATCTCCCATCACGACACCTCGGTACATAAATCGCAAAAAAACGAAACGACTCACTTCAGATGACTCATCATCTCTATGAGTTATGAGGATAATGTTGGCGCTGGACGTCGAAAAAGCATGGCATATGACATATTTGATTCTACTTAATCGGAGGACAGGCGCCTCCATGATTTTTCTCGTGCATTATCATGTACGCATTTCGCATCATGTTACCTTTCTTTCTTACCACATATTTTAGACATGGGTGGGGTTTTCTCTTTCGATTTACGAGGCGTTGTTCGGTCAAAGGTATCATAGAAGGATTCGGGTATCACCAAGGACTGGACCTATGGTTTTATTTCAGTAATGAAAATATTATGAAGGAGCTGGTTGCACATAATCAGCATGAATCATGTACATCATTTATACTGTGTACACCTTGTTAATACCAGTTGGCATTTACATGCAATGGATCATAGCACATCTTGACCAAGATCTCCATTATAAGAATTCAAAGTTTCTAAGCAACAGGTATGCTCGAAGCTATGCACCTCCCAAACGTAGTCCTTACAAGCCACAGACTCATGCTCAACTGTACCTTGGAGATCGACTGAAGTAACAGCTGATTGGGTCAATGACTCAAGTGGCTCAGGTACCTTAATTTCTGAATCGTGTACGAATTGTGGCTGTGCTCCGCGCGATAAATGTCTGAGATTTACCGCTTTCGGGTTGTACCAAGGCATCGATGGAGAATGGGGAATTCTTGTGAGCCTATGCCACTTGCGATGCGAGTGTCGGTATTACTTTGCTAATCACATGAATCTCGAGGACCGTCTGATGCGGCGTGCGACTGGGTTGTGTACGGATATGGATGCTCTACTACCTCAGTCAAGTACTCGAGTATAACTACTCCGTAGTTTGTATGGTGATTGGTAGGTAGGCAGGAAAGAGCTTCAAGATCAGGCAAATGGCTCGGTTCCCAGACAGAAAAAGCTTAACGAACCCATGGGAACGAGTTCTGCAGTCAGACAGACTAAAACAAAGGTTTTGTCTGAGATCTCAAGTGTTGGCGTGATCTGGAGTTGGCAAATGGCCCAACTGAGGGGTTGCGCAACGCAAATCAAGGAGTAGTGACCTCATCGCTCTCGATCCGGTGAGCGAGCTTCCCTTTAATGCTCGCATTCCCAACTACCCTTTTTCCTTATCTATAAACCAAGCCAGAACGTATAGCATTCTTTCATTTATACTCTCCGACAGAAGAGAGATTTCGATCTTTCTATTTTGTACCTGGTAAGTGTCCATCTAGCCATTTGGTCTAGCTGTCTAGCATCTGGCTATTGACCGCTGCGACCCACCCCCTCCGCTTTAATTATTGACACCCCTCCAACTAACTATCTATAGTCACGTATTCGCATTCGCAGTAGGCTACGGGGCAGTAGCACGTATTACGGCAAATAGCTGGGCCTAGTCCAAGCCAGCGCTTCGGCCTCCACAATCTCCCGCAATTGCATCTTTTTTTCTTCTTCCCTTGAATTGCGGAATCAAGTCAATCGACTTCTGTTTGTTTTATTCTACTTCAAATTTAGCGCTTTTTATTCAGTCAGGATGTCGGCTGCAACCAGTCCCGTGGAGCAGAGACTCCCTCACCGTTCGTCGACGATGCGGAGCTCCATCGGTCCGGACCGTCGGGCGTCACTGAGCGACGACGAGGCCGTCCCGGGTTCAGATACTAACGAGGTATGTCTACGGTCTGCTGCTGCCGGACAAATACTGACTATGCTGTGCTGAGCAGACTACGGGCCTTCTCCTTGAGCGTCTCCGTGCTTGGAAACACATGTGCGGTTATTTGGAGGATTATGTGGAAGTCACAGCCAAAGTGCAGAAGTCGCAAGCGAAGGATTATGAGAAAGTTTTGAAGGTATAGATGGTCTTTTTGTCGAAGATGGTATCCAAAAGGGTGCTGATTCTGCCTGGGTAGACTGTCAGCGACCCCCTTCGGGAGGGGCACCATTTCTCTCAGAGTGCGGGCGGAGTTTCAGCATGGTTTGAAAATATTCGGAGCAATACTCAGGTATTGGTTCCTGACTTGTGTTCCTGGGGTTCGCAGCTACTGATGGATTACGTAGGGAATCGTGAATGGGTACCTTGACACGGAAAAGAACTTGAAAGGATCCGTGCTGCCGACCCTTCAGCGTCTCCACAAGGAGATCAAGAACAAGTCCAAGGAGCTGCAGAGCGGCGCAAGTAAGAGCGCCAAGGCTGTTGAAAAAGCACGAGGTGTGACGCAGAAACATATCGAGCTTCTGGCTCAGCAGGTTGCAGCGTTTGACTCAACTGCGGGCAACAAATTCGACCATGCCCACGACCCATACATCTTGCGCCGCGGGGTCCATCACCGCCTGAACAAGCAAGTTACCGAGGAAAACAACAACCGTCAGGACATCATTGCCGTGCAGAACAACTTTCAGCAGTTCGAGGCGCATGTTCTGCAAACCGTCCATGCCGCGATGGAGCAGTTCAACGTATTCGTCGGTGGCCAACTCGACCGGCAGCGGAGCATGTACAGCGACATGTTGGGCGCTGCTCAGCGCATTCCTCCAGACTATGAATGGCTTAATTTCATCACACGCAACGCCAACGTGTTGGTGGACCCCGACTCACCGCCGCGATCGCTGTCCAACATCTCCTTCCCGAACCAGGATCACCGCGCCACCGTCCCGCTCATCGAGGGCAGTCTGGAGCGCAAGTCCCGGGCTATGCTGAAAGGTTACAGTACGAGCTACTATGTTGTCACACCCGCGCGATACCTGCATGAGTTCAAGGACAATGACGACTTCCGCAACGATCCATCTCCCGAGCTGTCTCTGTACCTACCGGACTGCGTGGTTGGCGGCGTGGACGGTAACAAGTTCACCATCAAAGGCAAGGATGTTTCCGGCGGCAAGGTCGGCAACGCCTTCCACACTACCAGCGAGTTCAACTTCAAAGCGCATACCCCGAGTGACGCGGAGAAATGGTGGAACGTCATCCGCGACGCAGCCAAGAGTGGCCCCGTACACTCGCCAGTGTCTCCCACTAGCCCTGTAGCAGCTGGGGGCGCTACCACCGAGAGTGGTGCTGCTGCTTCGGCTCCACCTCCTACCACTGCTACTGCCGATGCTGCCGCAGTCGAGGCACACCCTCCGGCCTACAAGGAGCAGGAAAGCTTTGCGCCAGCCGCGCAGCAGAAGACCACTGCCGGCGAGGCGGCGACTCCCACCACTCCCGCAGGCGAGACTGGGCTTAACCGCTCAACAAGCTCTGCAACGGGCCACTACCACATGGGACCGGGTGGATCAGCCGTTGCACCTGACGCACCTGCTTCCGGCGCCGAGAAGTCGTGAACCAGCCATGCTGAAGCTTCTGATTTACTTTTTTTCGTCTATCGTATAGTATAATATCGATCATGTCTATAGGATGACAATGTACTTAATCAGTATACCTCGAGCTGCCGTACCATGTACGCAGTGAGATCATCATCATGAATCAGTAGCCCGAGTATCATGCAAATCACCCTCCGACTCGGTTCCTGCCCCTCCCAAACCAACACCACAATCGACTTCACCCCTCCGCCCCGATCCAGCGGCACAACCGCCCAATCCTCCAACTCATACTCCAACCGGAACCCGTTCTTCTCAAACACCCGCATACTAGCCCTATTATCCGCATACGCCGACGCCTTGATCACCCGCGCATTCATCCGCGGAACCGCCCACTCCTCAATCACAGCTTTGATCACAGCCGTCATGATACCTTTGCCGTGGTGTGTCGGCGAGAGATAATCTTTAGTCGGTCAGTACTCACCTTCCATCACCTAAATATACACATAGGTATATACATGGCCATAGGGAGTTAAGTAAGGAAGGAAGGAGAAGGGGAGGCTTACCACCAAATCCCCAAACAATCTCCGGGCTACCAACCCCCAAAGCTTCATTCCTGCGGACTGCCTCCTCGCGCTTCGGGCTGCCCTTTTTGAATTCGTAGAAGGCGTACCGGACTAGTCCTACGTTGCCGATGTAGACGTCACTGTTACTGTCGCCGGTGACCTCCCGGATGCAGGTGAATGGCAGCCCGTCGACGAAGCGGTTGGTTTGCGCTGCGTGCAGGAGGGCGGTGGATTGTTCGTGCGAGGTCTGCAGCCATGCGGTGGCGTGTTCGGGGAGGTATGGTACCGGGGTGGATTCGAGGTAGGGGTAGATCTGGGGGTTGTTGAGGAGGGAGAGGAGGGCGGAGGAGTCGTCGGCGTTTGGGGGCGCGCCGGGGTGATGATGATGGAGGAATGGGGGCGGGGAGGGGATGTAGGGTTCGTTTGTTATGGGGTTGATTAGGATGGGCATGATGACTGGAAATTAAGCCTGTAAATGTAATTGATGTAAGTGTACCTTGAGTTGGGTATACGGAGTAGATGTGGCTATATATGTTCTGATGTGAGTCACGGTATAGGATACGAGTCATGGTATAGGAATAATAGGGTACTACATAGCGGCTTGGCTGTGGATATTGACTCAGGTAAAGAACACAATGATACTATACACAAATCCAAGGTCGAAGTCTTCAACCTCGTATTGATCCTGGAGTTGAGGTTAGCCTCCCCGGCGGACCCATCCATATTTCTTGGCTGTGGATATTTCGACTCCAAGGTCATGCACAAGAGGACAAAGCGCAAGATGGAAAACTGATGCTTCATGTGTACACAGGTGCTGCGGCTGCAGGAAACAAAAATGGGAATCGGGTTCTCAAATGCGACCAAGACGGATATCTCTCACAAATGGCCGGAACGCTCAGAAATGAATATGGAACAGATGAAATCGTACAGACTCATGATATGAATAAAGATAGAAAACTAAAAATCCTCAGGACTCTCAAGGTCTGCCAACTTCTGACTGAGAAATCTTCCCAGAGCGGCAGCCTTGGACTCGAGCGCCAAGAGCGTCGAGGGCGATGCAGACAGGTTCAAGCTCGCCAGACGAGCGAGATTGCTGCTCCGGTCAATCTCGTACTGCGTCTCTAGCTCCGCGTCTGCTTGTACATCAGCTTCGCTCTCGTTGCGAGAGATGCTGGTCGGGGTAGAGGTCGTGGTGGCCGGCGCCTGGCTGGTGTATGTACCGTTGGTGGTTGGCCGGTGTGCATTCGACTCCGTTGCCGATGTCGCCTCTGGCCCCGATTTCGCAAAGCCGTTTTGGTGAACTTGCGTTCCATCGACAGAACCGGCCTCGTCGGTGTCAGACTTCGACGGCCCCACGGCGGCCAGCAGGACTTTGTCCGCTATCCTGGTCACAACGGCAACCGAGTCATCAAGCTCAAAGACAATAGAGCCTACGTCGCCTAGCGACACCGACTGTGCCGTGACATATGACGAAGGATGACTGGCTGGGTTCACGCCTGTAAGATTCCCGCTCGAAGCGTTCTTTGCGTAGCAAGTATAGGCCGCTCCGTATGTGGCGCTCAAGTTGCGCAACTGCCGAGACGAAAGCGACGAAGCATAGGCGAAGATAGCGCCGTTTGTGGCAAACACCCTATGAGTCGTAAATGTCAGCATAGTTACACCGGTAGTCATGGAATGACATCAGCATACATGATCGTAGTGATCTCCGGAGGCGAGAGGTTGTCCTCTAGCAAATCGCTGAGGGCCTCTGCATCGAGCATTCGAATGTCCGGGAGTCCCGGAATCATTGTGTCGTCGTAGCAGTCGTGCTCAGAGTCAGTTCCGTCGGCAATCTCGTCTTCGGACCTGTCGTCTTCAATAACCCAGTTCGGAGGCCGAGACCAGGAACAGTCCTCGGGGAAAAAGAAGCAGTTGTCGGAGTAGTCTTCGTCGTCGTGATCGTACTCAATAGGTTCGTCTGAGCACTCAAGGAGATTCTGCGCGTGCTGAACGTGGCTTTGTGCCCAAGGCGGCAGATGTGGAACCTCGAAGGCTCCGGCAGCTTTCCGATTCAGACGAGCAGAGCGAACTGGATATCTAAATTCAGCCATCTTTCCTCTAACAGGGACGGATTCGAGATAGAGTGTATGGATGAGCAGGCCAGGGGAACAGAAAAGTACAAGAGTGAATCACTCCTGTGGTGACAGTCACACAAGGCAGCAATACAGCAAAGCGTCCGCGGAGAAGTATTGCGTCAAGGCGCTTCCTGTTCAAGAAGACCAGGAGACGATCTTCAGTAGCACAAGTAATACAACGCAAAAGGGGAAATGGTCCTTTTTCTATTCAACTTTCGAGGGAAAAGAAAACAGGAAGATCTGATCTGGTGGCCCCATTCAAAGTCCAGAACAAACAGCCCGGAGCCATCACGGAGATAGAGCTCTCACGAGTCACGACGTCGTCGAGGAAAGTGGGGATTGAAGGCTGTGGGGGGAAATAAAACGTAGGCAAGAATGTGAGATGCCATATTTACTTTTTCTTTTTTTGAATGGCCGCGGTAAGGCGCCAGAAATGAAGAGAGGCTCCGGAAAGGGGAAAGGGCAAATACCAACAGAAAAAAGAAAAGAAAGGCGGAAATAGTCCGGGGAATGGTTGGCTGAGCTGTTGGCGATGCTGAGCCTGAGCACGACAGAGGTACAGAGGAGAGTGAGACAGACAGAATAGTATAGGAACTCCACGGACCTTGGTAGATCTATGCAACGACCAGCGTTGACAAGTCAATGAATAGCGAATTCTGATAATATGAAGCTGCAGGATCGCAGACTATTATTAGTTGTCAAACAACAGTAAGCAGAAGGAAGCAAGAGCGGACGAGATGAGAGAGGGTCGAGGCGCTGGGGGATTGATTTGATGATGGAGAGCGGAAAGCGGAGAAGATCAGCCGATCTGGATGCCTGGTTTATCAGGCAGAGGTCAACCACCCTGTCAACCGAGGTGAACAGGCCATATCCCATATCCTCTAAAGATCGAGATTCGGCGCTAAAAGAGCTGACAGCGATATATATTCACTTGATGGTCATAGGGCTAGTATCTTGTGGGATTACCCAAGCTACGCTTGGTACTATTCTTGACCTTTAGTTCTGTGACGTATGCAGCAAGATGAGCATATCACCACAGAGTACACAACAGCTTCAATGCCTCACTTGCATACTTTCCAGTCCCAGAAGAAAAAGACGTCGTATCTATTGATTGAAGAACCCCAGTTGAAGCTGATTAGAAGAGGTACGAGTATGGATTACCGAGCTGACTCCAATGTTGGAGTATCCCACCATAGCGTCATAGGCGACCCCACCTTTTGTTTGCTCTTTTTTCTCCTCACTCCGCTCACTGATAATACCAAGACGCTCACCACTTTACCCCTCCGCTGCTTTCTTTTGCTCTATGTTCACTTGTCGCTTTCTTCCTGCGTCTCGTCCTTCTCTCAAGGTCCCCATCCCAAGAAACTTCATCCTATCAGGTATGCGTCTCTCCTATTCGATCGGTTCTCTACCCCACTTGACAGCAATCATTTGCTAATGAGCCCGCTGCAGGAACCTCTACTAGGTTGTTGGCAACCATGGCGTCAGAAACCTCCAAGTATAAGCTTAATCGTCAGTGCCTTCCTCTGTGATTGGACCTAGAGTGACTACGTATAAGTGCTTGAGTCTAACATAGCTTGCAGACACAATGATCCGGGTCAAGGACCCCAAGAGATCAGGTGGGTAGCCCGAACAACTAGGCAATCATTGGCTTGGGCGCTGATTGCCTCATTTGTCTTGTTTCTTTAGTGGAGTTCTACAAGTTCCTTGGGCTCAATCAGATCCAGCAGCTCGACTTTCCCGAGAACAAGTTCTCCCTTTACTTCCTCGCCTACACTGGCCCCAGTCGCTGCAGGGCGACCGTCACTGGACGGACCGCAATGCAGTGCTGGAACTCACGCACAACTATGGCACGGAGAATGACCCAAATTACACTGTTTCCAATGGGAACACGGAGCCTCATCGCGGTTTCGGACACATCGCCATCTCAGTCGACAACATCGAAGCGGCCTGCAAGCGGCTCGAAGACGCTGGGTATCAATTCCAGAAGAAGCTCACCGACGGTCGCATGAAGCACATTGCGTTTGCAAAGGATCCCGATGGATACTGGGTTGAGATCATCCGCCGCCACGACCAGGATGTGGGGACTGCGACAGATCCAGGTACCTACCGACTGAACCACACCATGCTCCGGGTCAAGTCCGCCGAGACCAGTCTCAAGTTTTACCAGGAGGTTATGGGCATGACCCTTGTCCGCACTATCGAAAACAAGGATGCTGCCTTCAATCTTTACTTCCTGGGTTACCCTGCATCCAACCCCACTGCGCAGGAGGGCGCGAAGAATCCTGTGGCTGAATGGGAAGGGTTGCTCGAGCTTACCTGGAATTACGGTACTGAGAAGCAAGAAGGCAAGGTTTACCACGACGGTAATTCGGAGCCTCAAGGGTTCGGTCATATCTGTAAGCCACCCCGTCATCTTTTGCAACGGTCGAACTACGCTGACATTGATATGCCTGCAGGTGTCTCTGTTGACGATCTCAATGCTGCCTGCGATCGATTCGAGTCGCTCAACGTGAATTGGAAGAAGCGTCTGACAGACGGGCGGATGAAGAATGTGGCTTTCATTCTTGACCCGGATGGTTATTGGATCGAGGTGATCCAGAACGAGGCGTTGAAACGTACCAGCAATTGGTAAACAGTAGCCTGTCAGTATCTGTCAGTATCATTCGAATGTCAGTCGGGTCTGTGGGGGGTGTAAATAGTCATTCCAGTATTATTAGTCAAGCCTTCGCGTAACACTGCGTCCATTATTGTGGCTATTTTCCTTTGCGTGGTCAAGTGGCTCTATCCCCTCTCTAGTTAGCAGTCGCAGAATCAGCCACAGAGTGTGTACAGAAGCCATCCGCCTTGCCACCGGCCAGTTGCATCCACTACCTAAAAGTCTAAAAGCCTCATGAAGCTGTATTATGCTGCGTCTATCGCGGCCGAGTCTTATAGGCTGGACTCTCCTCACGCCTGGTGGATCCTCCCATCCCCGCTCCACTGAAAATTGTTGCGATTCTGGACGTTCCCCAGAACGGAGTCACTCTTAGTCTTTCGCCCAACCACATCGAGTTCTCCTCCCAGAAAAGCATGTTCTGCATCCATTCCATCTCGATAATTCTTGACCTGAGTATGTCGCTAGTCCATCAAGCTACTGTGGAGGTCGAATCCATGACTGGGAGTTGAGACTCCATTTCTTGCTCTTATTGGTGTTCCGACTACCTTTCCCCTCTGACTGAGCGCGCAGTGTTACCGCAATGGTGACCATGCAGTCTCAGTCCGAGAAGCCTAAGAAGGCCCCGCGTAAGCATGTCACTACGGCTTGCGTCCCGTGTAGAGAAAGTAAAATCAGGGTCAGTTTGTTGTTTTTCCCTTTTCGATTCTATAGTCATACTGACTACTATCCAGTGCGACGGCACTACTCCACACTGTCGCAACTGCGAGAGAAAAGGGAAGGATTGCAGGTACCAGCATGGCGATGACAAGCGGAAGTAGGTGTCGTCTCGCTCCATCTTTCTAGGCGTTTTGGCTGGTTTTCGTGATATGCATCTTGTGCTTCTCGTCACGGGCACCCCATGATAGAGACGAGTGACAAGCGGATTTCTCGATTTTGGCCCAGTCTGCGAAAGGCTCGCTCTGGACTTCGTTTGATGAAGAACCAACGGAAACTGACCGTCTTGACACCAGAGTCTCGCTTCGTGCTGCTACGGAGCTCTTTTCCGCCAGAATTGACCAGCTTTGTCAGTTCATCTATGACCAGGGGCTGGAGCCGCCCCCCATGAAGCCCGAAGATGAGGCGGGTATGAATCGGGTTCTGGACACACTTCAGATTCCTCGCGCAGTTGTGAAGAAGAGCAGTCCTGGGAAGGTTGATGCACCAAATGTGCAGACCAGACCGGCGGCTCAGCAATCTCCCGAGCGCAACTCGCCTGATGTTCCAGCTCTAGAAGGGCAGCCCGTAAAGGACAGTGCCCTTGGAGCGGCTCACAGTCTCATTCCTTCGCCCCCTGAGATATCATTCGCTGAGAGAAGCCAAGAGCCAGTCAACTTCTTCGGCGTCAATCCGGGGCCGTCCACCAACTATCCTTCCACGCACTGGGGCTTTACTCTTCCAACGGCGGAGAGCCTGGGGTCCATCTACGCTAACTTGGACGGTGCGTCCAATTACCAGAACGAGGGCAGCATCAGCAGTCCCGACAGCTTGCCTTTACCTCCAGACTTTACTCAACAGCCGGGAGTCATGTTGGGCCAGGCCCAGAATGACACTGACGATGATTCGGAAAGTGGCGAAGAGGACGAAGCTGAGAACGATGTCATCGAACAGCTATCCCATCGCATTGGGACGTTGAAGATCGCCGGGGATGGCCACCTGCGGTTTTACGGAGCCACGTCTAATCTCAACCTGGTTGACGTTTCGGCGACCCAACAACGCCAGCGACCTGATGCTCGTACTGTCCGCCACGATGGACAGGACATTCTGAATCATCTGCGAGTCGGGCAGCCTGTGGATCAGGCTCTCGAGGATCATCTTGTCGAGCTTTATTTTACCTGGCAGAATCCTAGCACCTATGTTGTTGACAAGGAGATGTTTATGACGGCGAGGTCGAGGTGGAGGAATGACCTCGACGACACGCCATTTTATTCGGAAGTCCTGACAAATGCCATGTATGTCCTTGCCATCATTGCCATGCATCTCACTAACAAGATTTTAGGTGTGCCGTCGGCAGTGCGTTCGAAGCACGGTACCACCCTACTTTTATCACGTTTCCCAAGTCGCTTTCCGAATTTTTCGCGGATCGAGCCAAGGCTCTTTTGGAAATCGAACTAGATTCTCCCTGTGTTGCCACAGTGCAGGCGCTGGTCATTTTGAGCTGTCATGAGGGGGCATCAAATCGTGACGCACGCGGTTGGCTCTATAGTGGTATGTTGGGAACCAAGCAAATGGAGGCTCAGAGCTGATTGTCTCCAGGAATGTCAATGCGGCTTGCATTTGACCTTGGATTACATCTCGACATGACTCCGTACGTGGAAAAAGGCGACATTAGTGCGTTCGAAGCCGATGTGCGTCGCATAGCGTTCTGGGGAAGCTATACCGCGGACCAGTAAGCTGCAAGCTGGTTGCTCTGCCGCCGCCGTCTCTGACTGACCATGATCCCAGTTTCTGGGGCTTTTACTTAGGACGGCCTTTCCGCACTAATGCCGGAGACATTACCGTCCCCAAGCCCGCGTCGGACCTGGGTGCAGCAAAGGAGAGCATATGGTATCCGTATGGCCTAGATACGAAATCTGTGGTGCTGCAGCATGGGTTGAGGAATCCAAATGAGCTGATCAGCAGACAATTCGCGGTGCTATGGGAGATAATTCTACCCATCGGTCATATTCTGTAAGTCTCCCAGCAATGGTGATCAACTTCAGCCACTGACATCTCTCTAGGTATGGTTGCTCTGATATTTCTCGACATGATCTCCAGAGGCTGTGCTATAACGTTACAGAGGATCTTTTCGCCTGGAAGGAAAACCTGCCTTCCAACTTGAAGATTGACCTTGACGACGAAACTACGCCGAGATTGCCCCATCTCATGATGTTGCAGTACGTCTCTTCCTATTCGGACAACCAGGGCATGAAGCTAATCATGCGCAGCATGCAATACCATCAGATAGTCATCTTCACTCACAGACCATGGGTGTCGAAAAACTACATCCAACCACGCAGTCCGCGCCAGGGTCCTGGCTACCACCATGCGCGACGAATGTGCATCGAGTCATCGACAGCCATCGCGCGAATTCTCCACATATACGAAAAACACTATACCTTCCGCCGCATGAACAACCAGGTTGTCGCGATCATCTTCAGCGCAGCCCTGATGCTTCTCTACGTGACCATCTCGAATTCATTCTCATCCAGCAAGAACAGCAGCGAGAACACCAACAGGAATGCGGAGATGGTGGCGTACCTGAACCTTTGCTTCCGCGCTCTAGACGAACTGGGCCAGTCCTTCGAGAACGCCAAACGAACCCGCGACTTTCTCGTCAGCCTGCAACGCAGATGGCAGGCCCACCTGCGCCGGTCTGGGTCCGCCAAAAAGCGCCAAGTCAGCAAGTTACTCTCGCAACAATCCACCGGACAGGGACCCGGACCCTCCACCGAGTCCGATCCCTCGAGGAAGAAATCCCGAATATCCGCGCCGCGGCATCAGAATCAATCCTCCTATCCTTTCCCGCCGCCAGCACCTTCATCGAATATGCCCTCTACCCACAATCTTTCCCAGTCCCAGTCTCAGTCCCAACGGCCCGCGCAACAGTCCCTGAACCTGTCTCAGTCCCAGCGCTTCGGCGCCTGCCAACCCGGCGACCTAGACTGGATCCGGGACTCGGACTTCCAACTCCTCGCCGAGAACCTGGGGGATGGTCGACTAGCGCAGATGGGGACGGGCAATCAGTTCGAAGGGGAGAATGTCTTGCCTAGTCTGTCTGATATCGAACCGTGGTGGGACTCGCCCAATGGACATAATTTCGGGGGTCCTTCATTATAGATACATAAACTTGGAATTATACATAATGAATTTAATGGACATGCTCTTTACCAGAATGACTTAAAGATGTAGTTGCGGGACCTGGCGAAATCGCTTTACCCGCTGAGAATAGGGTAGTATCTCCTACCTTATGGGAACACGCACGAGCCACTGTCGGCAACCTATTTCCACCAGAGGGGTAGAACGAATGGTTCGGCATTCTAGGTAATTTACTCAGAATATCCACCACTCTTTCATGTCCAGCATAGTATGCCAAATCAAACAGTCACAATCTTCATTAGACAAAGAAGTATAGTTCTCCTGGCTCAGCTATTGGCATCTGAATCTTTTGAAAGCAACGTCTCACCCAGCCATCTCCCCGCGTCTTCCTCGCCAGAGCCAGGAGGCACCTGCGCAAGCGTGACCCTGCTCTCTCCGTACCCCTTTTCCCGGCCCCAGAAACATGCCCTGCGCATGACATCAACCATCTCATTCGCCTGTTGCGCCAGTACTGAGCGCCGCTGTGTCTTTCTAGAGTGTCGGGGGGCCTGCCTTTTCCCATCTCCGCCTGGTGCAGAGACGGAGTCAGTCTGTTCGTTTTCGCTCTCGTGGGCGCAGACAAAGAGACGAATGTTCGGGAGGGCCATTTCGAGCCGTTTGATTCCTTGGTTGTAGATGTGGTAGCGAGGGACGCGCTCGAACCATAGTCTAGACCGTACGGGGGCCAGCGTGAGAGGGCTTTGCGGCGGCGGATGGCGCGGCCATGGAGGCCGAAACTGGCATCGGCGGGGTCAATTCTGGATTTTGAGTCTGAGTCTGGAACAGAGAGTAGATCTGTCTCCGAGTCGTAGATGTCACCCTGCTGGGGGATTGTCTGGTCCTGCGTATCGGGATCCCAGACACCAATCGGCTGTCTGTCTGGCTTACTGGACACAAGCACAGGAACGGGAGAGTTCGGTCCAGTGCGGTACTTCGGAAACGTCCTCGGAACATCCTTGCCCGCTGACCGTAGGAACAGGACTGGCGACGCAAAAGCATCAAAGTAGCGCTCCGGCGAGGCAAAGAATGTCTCCCGAGCTTCAAGGAGCGGGACGAGATCCTGTGCAGCGGGCACTCGGCTTCCTGCACCCCGTGTTCTCTTGCTGGCAGTATCTCCCTCGTGAGCTGGTTGCTCTTCCATGAGACAGTGCTCGTCCAGCCCGGCCCAATCGCAGATAGGTTCTAGGGCGGCGACGGCATGAACAGATTGCGCTTCGGTGAGGGATAGCATGAGCGCTAACGAGCCACCGATGTGTGTGCCGATGACACCTAGGCGCGCGGGTTGCAGGTTCTGCTGGACCCAATCGAATCCGGCCAGGGTATCGTGGACGGGTGTAGGGTACCGATAGAAGACTTGCTTGTTGGCCGTGGAGGGACTCCTCTCTTCTTCGTTTTGGGATAGCGCCGACACCGGCACAAGGTCCGTCGGTGGTGTTGCCCCTAGACGGTAATTGATCGTTACAACCGTCGAGGAAGTGACAGACGCCAGAGCTTCTGAGCAAGGATCATCTTGACTTGCACCATGTTCTGCCTCTCGCCGAAACAACGGGCCCCGAGGTAGTCGGATGATCACATTTGGTTTGCCACCGGTAGGGGCTATAGAGGGATAGGTTACACTGTCGTAAATATTCATGTCAATATAAGCCTTATGAAGCTCTGTAGAGTGGGACACTCACGTCAGGGCTACATGTCCATTGTTTCCAACAGGAACCTGGAATGACTGATTGAGGTAGGTCGGTTGCGCGAACCGCGAAGATGAGAAGTAGCGGAGGTTCGCTCGAACGTATAAACGGGATGCCGAATGGAGACAGGGAAATTTGACTGCTATGAATCTGGCCAGAAAGTCAATTGCAAGTCGGCGCATTGCGCCATGTTGTTTCTGTGAGGAAGAGAAAGATACGGGCGGGTGGGAAATAGTTGACAGCGTCGATCGTTGACATGTGAGAAGTCTTGGCGCTTTTGTCCTATATCAGATCGGGCATATATATATATATATACTTTGTATAGCTTCAACAGGTTTCCAATTTCAGGTTCCGTTATATTCATTAGATAAAGTGTTTGGCATTATGAATCACTTGCCATGCATTATCAAAGATACGCTTGTACATGGATAAACGAGGCAAGATATGAGGGCTATGCAATCTAATAACAGCTGATATAAGAATGAATGCAGCGACACCGCAACTTTTGAATCCAGGTCTTCAATCTCAATAATTGTGGAGCATTCGACCGAACTTGCCCTTTGGTAGAGTCGCGCTGGCAGCCGGATCATCCATGTCAAGAGCTGCTTCGACGTCGTCCTCAGGCACTGGGCGAACAACCGCGAGCGACAGCTGCTGATCTTTCGAATAAACCCGCAATCCTGCCACGCAGACAGCATTCCATGGATCGATGCTAGCTCCAAGGCAGCAAGTAGATGCGGCTGGCGGGGCCTTTGTCTCCTCATGCTCCTCAGGGGGCATGTCGAGATCCGAGTCGAATTCGAAACCCTCAAGCAGCTCTTGCTCGCTGTAGTATACCGAATGGGTCATGGAAACGGTGGTATCCAGACTCGAACGGAGGGTCTCTCTGCTTCGTTGCCTCACATGGTTCGAATGGTGGTCCTCTGGGAGATTGATCGTGGGGACGCTGCTGTTCTGCACTGGCCTCGTATCAAAGCCATTGGTAGAGGCGCCTGCCAAATCTGCGGGAGATTGCACAGGACCATCGGGAAAGATTTGCTCGGTGGCCCGCTTGTCAGGCTGCTTTTGGTTGAGGCTGCCGTTGCTCATTGCGACACGTCTCTCTGCGGCCCGCTCTTTCCGTGCAGCCATCTTGCGTCCGCGAATCCACTCCTTTTGAAGCCTCCTCCTGGTTTCTTCGCGCAGCTTTCGTCTCTCAAGTTTTCTGCGACGCAGCTCACGTTCCTCCCGTGCTTGCTTCTCCTGCTCGGTCTCTACGACCAGACCCTTGGCGTGCGCGAGATCATACGAGAGGCCAATCTGAACGAGCTTCTCCCGCTTGATTGGTGCCAGGCGGCTGACGACCTCTTCTGCGGACTTCACGGTGTCTCTTCTGTAGGCAGTGACTTTCACAAGCACATGATATCGACCAGGGTCGAGATTGACTTCGGCGCTCACTGATCGGTTGATAAGGTAGCTGCTATGGCTGCGGACGATGTATTCTTCTTCTCCATCCTTCTGCAGTCTGAATTTCAGCTCAAAGTCATATTCACCGTCCAGGCCCCTGAAATACCGCGTATCCAGCTGTTCACTGTCAGCAGGTGCAAGCTTCTCTAAATGGAAGGAGAGTCACCTGAGAGAGGACGATGACGACAGGACCGGCAGTTGTCACATCCATCCTGAATCTCGTGCTATGATAGTCCGCTGACCATGGCACATTGAGAGTGGTCCATTGCTGGGTGACTGTCCATTCAGGCCCGAAGAGACGGGTGCGATCAAGATGTTGATACTTTTTGAGGAGATCCTCGTAGGAAATCCAAAAGAACTATTCCCCTTGTCAGCTGACAGCTCCAACAACTCCAGGATCGGAGATGCACATACACCATCATTTCCGAACTTGTGGTCCAATTTCTGCATCCACTCTGGTGTCCATTGCTCTGACCCGTCACTCCATGCACCATTCCATTCTTTCTTACCCCACGGGTTCCTATCCGGGTAAGCATGTGCGCACGGATGTTGGGGAGTGAACTCACCTCAATCGCAGCAGGCGACGACCGTCAACTTCCTTCGCATCCATGATCGAGTATGAATGATTCTCGGAAATACCCCTTCTGTCTCTTGGAGGCCCTTGGTATTTAGGATCTAACCAGTTGGAGAACAGTCCAGTACCGCAGCCGAACAGGAATTCATCATTGACTTTCATAAGCTCTTCCTTCCAGAATCGATCCTTGTCCAGGATGTTGCTGGTCAGGATATCCGACGTGACACCTCCTGTCAGGTCCTCGAGAGCCTCCCTAAAGCATTGTCAGTGAGACCATGAAATTGCTAGCGCAGTGTATCTCACCCTACAAAGCCACCCTCGATTGAGGAAAAATCACCATGTGCCTTGGCATATGCTTTCTCCAGTAAAGGCAGCCATGTTTCGTTTGGATCCACACACTGGGCAAAGTAGAGTGCCCGTGAGCCTGTCTGCCAGACCTTGCGATACTCCTCTTCGGTGTCATTGCGGTTGATGTCGTCCCAAATGGGTCTTTCGTCAACAGACTCGTCGTAGTCGGCTGCACGGAGATACAGCTTGTCGTCCACAATGCACTTCTGCCATTCTCCATCTGTCGAACCATGTCAGAGTCTGCTCACTTGCTCGAATGATGGCGTGGCTACCCACCTCTGTAGAAGATAAAGCCGTAAACTCCGACATTCTCATCCCGCGCAACGCAGATCTTTTCTATCAAACCCTGCTTGTTGCCCATCGTGCAGAGAGCAGCCATAAACCAACAATCGCCATCGCGACCTTGGCGCACATCCGACGCAGTTGGTCCATTGACGAAGAATTGCGGTTTCTCGAAAATTTCCTGACCGAAAAGATTAGTCGCCGTCTGCAATAGGCCAACTGCTAATCTGCAAAACACACTGTGACTCTTTTCACCCCTTTCGGGCGCATTTCATGATTCTTCTGATCGAGCGAATCCAAGCAATCCCTCCGTCCAGATTTGAGGTCAACCTCGATATCAAAGTGTGGATCGGTGTATTTCTGATTCACCCGCCTGCACTCTTTCACGATGCGCTCGACAGCCCGTTCGCACTCTTGTTTGGCTTGCTCGTAGGACTTCCCCGCATTCTGACCTTTGATCGTGCCCCTCCGTATACTCGCCGCTTTGGATCGCGCATACGGATTGTCAGGCAGAACAGTGTAGACCTTACCGGGGTACTTGGTACTGAACTGATTCCAGAATTCCCTCATGATCTCCTGGGGGTTCTGCTGCACTCTTCTCGCTCGACTATCCGAGCGTGTTGAGAGAGGTGGTGTGTAATCCATATCGATATAGTCTTCACCAATCTCCATGATGCTTGAATCGGCTTTGAAGGCCCAGACAATTCCCAGACTCGTCAATGATAGAGGATGAGGACTCTTTTCTCAGTAAAATCTCGAGACGAGCAGAATATGACCCTGATAAAGGTGTAAAGAACCAACCTGCGGCTGTAAGCAGTCAAGTAGTGCTCAGCCGTGCTGAACCGCGACACCCGTCACCCGTCACCAGTCACCACACGGCCAAAAAGCCAAAAGCAGTAAGTCCTATGAACCGTTACGCCCATCTCGTGTCCAGCCTGAGGCTGAGCAAAGTGACGAACCATAACGGAGTCAACGGTTTGGCCCCATGCATCAATGATACCAGGATAAGGAAAAGGGGCCAATCAACGAGTAAGAAACTCGAGATGAGAGCGGGGGATTGCACGAAATGCAGCCCTGGGGCGCCCATGTCAGCATTCGGGCCATTCTGGATTCGCGTTTCACGCCATTCACACATGGCTGCTGCCAAGTTGTAGTACGCTTATGCAGAGTTGAACGCGCTTGGGCTGAGTCGGGCCAATCATGGAAAAGGATGATTATCCCAAGTCCATACCCGGCGTTTTGTCCGTTGGTGGCCGGCCCCTGAGCTGAAAGCATGCTTGTAGATAGCAGCTGAAGCAACAGGAGATATAGCTTAGAATAGTTATCCGTACACCCGTTGCAGGCTTGTAATAATATATTTGGTATAACTATCAGATTGTGAGCAGGGGATGTTGCTTCACCGCATGCAGTCGGCGTCCGGAAGAAGTACGGTGTGCCTGAGGCTGTGCCTCTCCTGCGTCGTCCAGAAACCTGGAGCTGACAAGGCTGATCGAGGTTAATGATCCCAGTTAAGACGCCCTCGGCCCTGTTTCCTGGATCGGGAATCAACGTGGGCCAGATGCCCTGTATTCTGTTGCATTCTTAGCTTCTTTCTTTAGACATCTGCGTAACCTTGACCATGTTGGCTCCTGTCATCTTGGTAAGCACTACCAGTTACGGGAAGCCAGCTGTGCAATTGGTGACCCGAGTCCTGAGAAATATTGCACACAATAAATGTAGGACTAGGAGATACAAAATATCGAAACAGGTATGTGGTATGTACGCTTCTGCGAATGGAAAAATGGTCCATGAAATATCCAGTAACCTATGATGGCACTGCTCATATTCCAATGGTATGGTAGTATTTCGATAGAAAACTAAGCATAGAGAAGAGGGGGAAGAAGTATGTACATAGTGGGGAGATATGTAAACAGAGGGTGGAACAGTGCAAACAATCCAAACAGCCCTGGAGAGGTAAGCAGTCAAGATGGGCAGAAAGCTCCGTGTAAGGAGGTCCACAGGGAACATGATGATGGATTGTCACATTACCCCCCCTTTAGGTTCTGGATGCCCTCATCTGGGGTTTATTATTATCAGGGTGATTATTAAGGAATACATTGTCTTCGGCTGCTCATAGCCATTCTGGTAGGTGCATCAGTGGGCCTGGCATGGCTGGATATCAGGCATGGAAGTCACAGAGCAACATTAGGGAGTTCCTAAAATTTCAGGCTGGATACCAGGCAAGATTAATGTTATGACTAAGCCATCTTACCTAGTACTAGAGCTTGCGATAGTAGAGTTAGGATACTAGTATCTTATTAACCTCTCATTCATCTTCACCATTAACTTCTAGCGGGGGAGCCGGGTCCTAGAGCTGGCCAGGCAGAGGAGGTGTGGATGGGGCTTTGCAAAGCTTCTTAGGTGTGAAGATGGGGTGGACTTTTATAGAATCTAGGAGATCTAGTCAGAAGGCATTCCCCTCTTGCTTTATAATTTGGTATAGTCCAGCAAGCTGGTCAGCGAGCTTCTGACTAGGATGGTTAAGCTTCTAATCTGATGTGGTAATGAAG